TGTGGATATTTCTAGAGCATCGGTGTCGCTTAAGTAGAAACAAAGAACTTTAAACACATTTCATATCCGTTTAACTTATAACCTCTGTAATAAATAATACTTACATTATACAGCATTTCAAAATTACATTTCACCTATTGAATTAGCATTGGTGTTCGTCAACTTCATCATTATCATCATCGTCACTGTCGTCATCAGTTTCGCTGTCGTCATCTTGCCCTATAGTTATTATAACGGGTTCCATTTCCTCCATAAATTGATCATTCTCCCAAAATTTATCTTCAATGTCCCTAGCATGTTGACAAAATTTCTGCCAATCATTAATGGATATTAAGGACATCGCTTCCTGAGTAACTTCTTTCAGTGCGGTTAAACTGAAGTTTCCAGTGGTATTGCGGCTTCTTATATGAAATTTAAGCTTTGCCCAAGCTAATTCTATTGGGTTTAGCTCGCATAAATAAGGAGGTGTTCTTAGAGGAGTATGTCCATGTGATCTTATGATCCGATCAACTACATATTTTTTTTTGTTGTCAGGGGGCTTATGAAGTGAGACCAGATCGAACAAGTCAAATTTTCTGGCAGTTGCCTCATGATTTATGCCTATAAAATATTTTATTGTATAGTTTGATATGTACATGCATGTTTTGAGTCATAAGTACCTTTCTTTGTCAACCAGGCCATTATATCTTTTTTCGAAGATGATTTTGTCGGGGTTTTATCTTCCTGGACGGAATGATATGGAGCATTGTCAAATACTGTAACCGAATTGGCAGGTATATTCGGGAGGAGTTTTTCTGTGAGCCAGCGTGTGAAATTTTCCCGATTCATCTGACCGTGGTAATCGCCTGTAGCTAATCCCGCCTTAAATATCAAACAGGCATTGTCAACAAATCCATTTTCTGAACCTGCATGCACTATAATGAGTCGACCTAAAATATACAAGACGATTATATAATATGTTACAAATCAGAGTTAAATTTAACATATATATAGCATTTTTGCTTACCTGTAGAACCTATACTGCTTATTACACCAGAAACAGTTTCGCTCTGCCACCATTTTTTGAAAGTCAAGTCATTGTCCACCCAGGTTTCGTCCAAATAAACTATATTGCGCCCTTCTTCACGATATCTACGTATTTCACGGATGTATTTGTACCTCCATTGCAATATATTGGGCCTCTCCATCAAAACTTTTCTTTTATTTTGACATTTGCGCCAAAACCATTTGATTTTAATAAACTCCTGAGAGTTTCCCTAGAATAGGGGAAATTTGAGTCTTCTCGCAACTTTTGTAATAACTTCCTAGTTGTCGGGACAACTTTATATTCAAGATAAAATCTGTTTATCAAATGTCTAATAATCTGAAAATCAAAATCTTCATCTTTCTCAACAAGAGACTGACGCGGTCTTTTCTTTCCGGGACTGGATAACATTTTATTCGGGTTATTTTCTAGTCTTTCTTTATCTTCGTTATGAATTTTCCTAACAGAAGATACTCCGACTCCGGTATAAAGGGACACCCTATCAAGCTTACGTTTAAGCGGCAACTTGAGGGAATTGTTTGCCGCTCCCTCATCGCAAACCCTATAAATAATCATCAGAATGTTAGCTTAGCATTTCCTTGTTTTTTATTTATATTCAGACTCAGTCGTCAAAAACTACAATTATTGCATATTATTATTACTAACCTATAAACATTCGCAATCACTTCTCTTGTTTGGCTATGAAGCGTCTTTCCGCGAGTAAATTGGTTCATTTTAAAAAAATAATACTAAAACGAATAACAATATCAAATAACAAAACACTAAACTATTCAAAAACACACAGCACTAAACATACAAACTTAGTAGAACAATAAATAGTTAACAATAATAGTTGTACAACACGACAATCAACGGAGATAAAACCTACGCCACTGGACTTTTCAATAGTATGGATATTCTAAGAAAGGAGCAAAAAATTGTCTGGGACGCTACCCAATAGGGAGTCGAATTTTCTCATGGCGACAAAACATGTGAGGATATCCGCCAATCAGATTCGTTTAGGCGGTGTCCAATATACCTTTCGGGTGGTTGTTGCCAGCTCAACCGATGTAGATAAGATCTTTGGAAAAATGTTTACTTATAATACGATTCAGTAGTAAAAAATAGTTAGTAAATACAAATAGAGCTAACAACCCATTAAAATTCTCAGTATTTTGAATTAATATTTTTTGGAATTGTGAAAAATCGATTTTCATATCATTGAAATTACTTTTTTTATTATTATTATTGCTTTTTTGTAGTTAAATTTGGCAATATCGAATATTTTCGGTCGCATTCCTTTCGCTGTTGCAGATCCGTTTGCCAAACTATACTTAATGAAGCATAATAAGTAAATGATAAAAATTCCAAAATGATTGCACTACTTTAAAGCCCTTTGACCTTTAATAATGTGTGGATGCACCCTGATGTGCTACGCATTCTCCAACGCGCCTAGGCATGCTTCTGATCAGGTGGTTAATGTCCTACTGTGGTATCTCATTCCAGGCAACTACCAACTCTTCTCGAAGTGCTTCTAGAGTCTGAGGAGGTCGTTGCAAATTGAGCAATCTCCTACCCATCATATCCCACACGTGCTCAATTGGGGATAAGTCGGGAGATCTTGGTAGCCATGGTAACAATGTGACATCATTATGTTGAAAGAAGTCTATTGTGACTCTTGCAACATGTGGTCGGGCATTATCTTGTTGGAAAGTTGGATCTCCCAGGGTGTCAAAATAGGGTAAAAGATGGGGTTCTAGAACTTCGTGGATATAACGCTGCACGTTCATGTTACCTCTGATGAAGAATAAAGGTGACCTGGAACCATAAGCTATAGCACCCCAAACCATAACTCCAACAGTGTGATGAATATGCCTTTCAACAAAAAACGTCGCCTTCTAACCCTGGCACGACCATCGTGCATGCCTAAACAAAATCGAGACTCGTCACTAAAGACAATACTGTTCCATTCCTGATCCCAGAGTGACCGTTGTCTGCACCACTCAAGGCGATTACGTCGGTGTAAGGGTTAGAAGGCGACGTGGTGAAAGGAGGAACCCACAGGTTTGTCACTTAGTATAGTTATTAATATAGAAGCAGTAAAATCTTAATATTTTCATTTTTGTATATTATTTCATTAATTTACCCGCTTGCATAGCACCTAATATAGTTGGTGGTGAACCATATCTAATTGGACACTGATGTATCAGAAAGCTTGTTCGATTGTTTTTTCCCTTCATAACTCATCATATGTTTTATTGTATCATTTTTGCTGTTTACTTGACAAATCTGTAAATTCATCATTCATTGTTCATGCTTTGTATTCATTTGCTGGACAATCGCAATTCCGTGACATTATACCTGTTTCACATCAACAATTTCTTCACCAATTTATTCAGATGGATTTCTTTAAGGTCATATTGATTATGTTTTGTTTTTACATCAATGGACAAATTCATGGATTATCTGACAGTGCTGCCAACCACAAAACAATTTCTTGATAGAAACATTTTGAGTTTTTATATGGATTGTGGTTTTGATTTTATGGAGAATATCATAAACATAAACCATGCTGTTGAATACTGTAACCATATCAGTTCTATGCTTGAAGAGAAAAGTTTTAAAATATAATGGAAAGGAAAACAAGGTTGGCGCCATGGAATTTAACGTCCAACTTGCGTGTAGAAATCCATGAAGAACTTTATTAATTTGACGTCAAATTCCTGTTTTATACTTCGTAAATTTCATTCATGAAGAAGTCGGAATCTTGAAAATTAATCGAATTAAAGTATTGTGTTGTGTATTAAGCCCTCTAATACCTAATTCCAAACCATCATTTTAGTCTGTCGCTTTTCATAGCGTAATGACCTCACTTTGAATGTGAAGAATAAACTAGGTTTTGCCACAAGTTTGTAGCGTTTTCATTGTGTCCCTTCCCTTTTTCTTCCTTAAGAAACAAATATTTGCTTTCGGTGTTTTTCGGCCTTGTCCACTCTGACCCATACACATAAGTTCCATGTAGACATCTCTTGGAAAATAGGTTTTTGGCCACATTTCACGCGATTTGCACCACTGTGCGTCGGCACACTATGCTGGTAGACTCGTATAATTTCTCGTATTCTTGACACAATGTCAAAAAACTACAAAAACATCGGCCAAGATGGTTTTCTTAGGATACACAAGTAATTGAGGAATATAGTAATTGCACCATACCGAACCCACAATATAGCTCTTTTCGCGGTTTTTGGCGGGTCATAGTAAAATGCCAGTATCACTTTGACATCACCATCTCCCTCATATATGCTCAAAACATGCATCTACCTTGAAGTGTGAACATTTTTTCATGTAAGCTCAAATACACACATTTTTGTTAGTCTTATCTCACCGCCTCAATAATTTCGTCGTAACGAATAACTGTTATGCAACTTTCAGTGAGAAAACTCCTACGTCATCGGCGCGCGGCGTTGCGATTTCAGCTGTTTACCTCTTGTAGAAGAAGCGGTCCTTATTACCCTCTTATTGTTGGTAACAACGCGTAGCAGCTATGTTTGAAGATCCGTTTGCGCACTCTGTACTTATCCTTATTAAAGGAAATTAAGCTACATCCATGACACAGACAGCCGATCTGTTTCCTATCTTATTCGTATTGTATTCATAACGTAACTGTCAAAAACGGTGAAAAGTACTATATCCAGTAATAGTGTACCTATTTACTGCCCAACTTAGGTGCCCTGTATCTTGGATAGTACTCGTGAAACATATTTGAGTCGATAGACACTTTTGTTCTACATTTAGAGATCTACAATTCAATAAGTTTAAAAAAATAGCCGAAAGCCATTCCCCACAAGACTTCTGCGGGGTCTTTCAAACGCGGAAGCGGCAACTTTTATGGGGATCCGCGGGGATATAACCTATCTTGAAAAGTGACTTATGTCGGTTTTTTAACATTATACAGGATTTTTGTGACATTATGTAGGTTTTTCTCTATGTCAACTAAGAAGTAGCTGTTGTTCACTTGATGCGCACTCGTTCTGTAGCTGTACCTATGTGTTTCCTATGTGATGTAACATCTGCATCAGAGATGGCATTATTGGAGGTGTAAGTAGTAAGTTTTTATACTATTGCTGAAAGGAAACGGCAGTGCATTGATGCATAGTGAGGATTTGTGGTTGATGATAATTCCATTGGTCTCTTGTCTCAATTACACTTACTTCAGATGTATGCAAAGCTAGAAATTACTTGCGCATCCACTTTTTCTTATTCATCCTGAAAATTACATATGAAAATTTGCTAAATTTAAAAAACGAGAGATATAAGTAAAGAAAATCCCTAGTTGGTGAAATATATTACATCCACCAGGTGGAAAAATATGCCACAGCCTATATTTTCTGTGATTTGGCTTAATTACACAAAACTTTGTGCAGTGCTGATTTCCCATAATGCTTCTCAATGTTTTTTAAAACGCAAAAAAAACCTGTGAAAATCGTAATTTATAACTTAAATAGTGAACATAACCTCTCTTCCTAAAGGACAACACAAATATTCCGTCTGGTACAGCTAATAGATATACTTCATGAGCAACATATTCAGTAATAATTTTCTCATATTACTTAGCAAATATCACTGATTTTATATACTCGCACATGAAGACCAATACTCACAATCACCATGCAATCATCCAGATGCGCTCTTACTCTGCTTCTCAACCAGTTTTCTATGTCACATTCTTTCAGATTGTACTCTTTAGACTCAGAATTCTGCAACCTACCAAGCATGCTGGGGAACTGACTTCCAGCAGGTCATCCTAGCCGTAAAATAATTAATGCACCTTGATGCATAGCTATGTTTCTGTCCACAATTTCTATTATGTACTAATCTGATTAGGTTAGGTTTGCGCTTCTTCTACAAGGACCCTTTCATTTGGAAAAACGAGCTAAAGACCCAGAGTCTGCTCGTTATAAGTAGATGTCAGCTGGTCATTAATCGTGTCGTTGAGTCATTCATCCACGGTTTTGATGTCGCTCACAGTGGTCATGGCGAGCAATATCGGAATTAACTGTTTGCACACTAGAAACTAACTAGTCAACAAGTTGACATTTTGCCGGTTTTTTGACATTATGTAAGTTTTTTACGTAATAACCCTGCCGGACTTCATTTTGCTACTGAAAATAGCTTGAGCTACAGAAGTTTTAATTTGTAGAAAACGACGCGACGTTGAAAAACTCTTTTAGTCACAAAAGCACGATCTACGACTCGTTAATTTGTTTATAAATGCGATGTTTGTGATCATTATAGGTTCAAATTTCTCCACTGGGATCCGAAAAAGCGTCACGAAACAATAGACACTACAGTGAAGCCAGACACCACAGTGATCATTCAACACGTAGCTTCAGGTCAAAACTTGGCAGTTGAGCCCCATTCTCTGATTCCAAAATTCTTCGGAACTGAATGTTTGGTCACCTGCTGCACCTACAGAGATAGTCACAAGATGGAGACTGCTGAGAATTTTTGGAGTGTGGTCAGTAGACCTATATCGGATACGGCTTTATACGTGAGAGCTGCTAAAGGGGAGGATATTAATGTAGAACAATTTGATGATTAAAATCACTCATGAAAAGCTTTGTTTGCATTTTAATCAGGGAGTCCATATACCATGAACTAACTCACTTATAACTGCAGTGATGTGGCAGTGATCAATTACTCAAAATGTTGACATTAGATAACTATAATAATTGGGATTATAGTAAAATTCATTTGAACAATTTGGCTTAAATATTTTGTACCAGAAACAGATGACATCTGACTTATTTTGAATTAAACACCTTGTCTATTAGGAAACACTCCTAAGAGAGTGAGATGAGTAGCTTCTCCAATAGGGGTACTAGACCCATACGCACGGTAGCAGAAAACCAGTGTTGCCGATCTTACCTCTTCATTTTCCACGATTTTTTCAAATAATTTAGATGTTTCCAGATTTTTTACTGAAAAAGAGCTGGTACCAAAAATAAAGTTAAAATATACCAGTCATACATAAGCATACGTTTAGATTTGGGATGCCTACTAATATGTATGCAACTCTTATTCCGCTTTTCCTGTACCTATTGGTTTTTGTGGGTACAGCTGGTATAGATTGATAGATCATCGTCATTCCTGCATTATCGGAGAAGCAATATGTAAAACAAAGCTCGTGGATATCTAATTGAAAATTAAATTAAAATGACATGTGATGACAAGTGGCAATAAAACACAAAGTCCCTCCATCCATCGCTCCATCTTTGTGACATCCCTGATTTCTTTTCTCCTACCGATTTTGCAATTGAATCTACCGAATTTCAACGACACTGCCTACTAGACCCAGATTCTCTAGTTTGCTTTCGGTCATCTGTCTGATGATTGCTAAGAAGCCCTGAAATAACGTTGTATACGGTTAGTTACGAGTATGCTCGCAGAGACAGAAAACAAAGCGACCCTGTTGAGACTGTGATTAATTTATGGATCTTTTGCATAGTACTTGAATGCTAGTATACAATTTGTAATGGTTTTCTTATAGAAGGTGACATAGTTTAGTAGAGCAGATTTCTTCAATATTTAGATACAAAATTGGCCTTATTTTTCAATGCTTAACCTGATTAAATTATAGAAAAGGTGGTTTCCCCTTGAAAAATAATTTTTTCATTTAATTTTTTAACACCCTGTATTATTTTTTATCCAAATCTCTATATATTAAGGCGCGTACTGACTTGAGCAAATTTGCGCGCACGAATGTTGTGCGCGAATTATTTTGACTGTGAAAACGTGCGCGTAAATTGTGTGCGAAAATTTCTGTTCCGTCTAGAGTAGCCGCTTATTTAGTTTCCGATCAGCTCCGTTTTTATAGCGTTGTCAAAATGTCCAACAACAAACAAATTATAATACCAAGTGCAGCCTACATAGTGATGCATTCTTGTAAACGGAAGAACAAACGGGATAACATTGTTAGCGGATTTGAAATTCCAAGAAATCAGCGGGCAGTTTCAAAATTTTGTCCGTATGTCTTCAGAGGATTTTGAGCTACTAATTAATATGATCGGACCCAAAATAAGGAAAATGAATACGAGACTGAGAATGGCCGTTCCCGTTGAGGAGCGACTTGCCATAACTCTACGCTTTTTAGCGACGGGAGATCCATATACAAGTTATGCAGTATCTTTTCAAAGTTTCAAAACAGCTCATATCTTCCATTGTTCCTGAAACATGCCGGGCCCTTATTGAAGTTCTGAAGGATTATGTAAAGGTAATTAGATAATTTGTTACACATACTTAAATATTTTATTTATTAAACTTAGAATGCTACAGCTTGAAATGCGTATATATAAACCAAAATGTAATTATGTCGTACAATGTTGAATGCGTCACGTCAAAGTGAGTCTGAATAAGCCAACTCTACATTTACCATTTCCGTTAAGGTGGGGTTAGGGGTTGAGCAGTGGGATTGTGAGGAAGAATAAGTTGTGTAAGGAGTTAGACAGGGAGAACGTGATGGGGTAGAATGTGATGTAGAATTAGGAGGATACATTGTTGGAAGAGGTGTTGTAAGTTGTTGTGGCATAGTATGAGGAACAAACTGCACTGGTGGAGCAACCCACTCGTATTTGCCGATATCAGCATCATATAGAATTCTACTGAAAGCATGTTCAACTTCGACTCGAGTCCTTCTACTGTAACCTCTCAGTTTATTTGCTATATGTTGTCCATATACTGCAAATTCATCTTCTGTGACGACTGGTTGAGGTGCGGCCACTTTTTTCAAAATTTGATAAGCTTCCTCCAATCTTGGATCTTCATTTTTACTTTTTGCTTTGACCTTTTTCGGTTTTGGAGGCATTTCATTCACATCCTGTTCATTTTCGGATTGCAAGTCAATTTAACGTCTTTTGTTTCCTTCTCTTGCATCTAAATTAGAATTTTGGGGAGAACTATCAAACGGTCCGAGACCTTTTTCCCCAAAATTCTGTACGTCATCAATAACCTGAAAAAATTAAAAATTATAAAAAGTTATTCATTTGAATGTTAAATCTAAAACTATATGAATTTTTCAGATGCCGTCAACTCCTGAAGAATGGTTATTAGTTTCAGAACAATATCAAGAGTTGTGGAACTTTCCAAATTGCTTGGGCGCCATGGATGGAAAGCATGTAGCGCTACAAACGCCAATAAACAGCGGCAGCGAATACTATAACTATAAATCACACTGTAGTAATGTATTATTCGCTTTAGTTGACGCAAATTACAATTTTATATTTGCTGATTCAGGCTGTCAGGGTCGAATTTCTGATGGAGGCGTGTTTAAACACAGTAGTACACTATATAAAAGATTACAGAGCAATGACTTGAAGATTCCTACAGCAAGAAGTCTACCAGGAAGGAATCAGGAGGTGGAGTATGTATTTCTCGGAGATGAAGCATTTCCGTTGAGTAAGCATATTATGAAGCCATTCTCAGGAACCCATCGGAAAGGATCACTGGAAAGAATATTCAATTATCGTCTTAGCCGAGCCCGAAGAATTGTAGAAAATGTCTTTGGAATTTCTTCTGCCGTATTTCGAATATTACGAAAGCCTATGCTTTTAGAGCCCGAAAAGGCAGAACTTGTTGTAAAATGACTATTGTTTTGCTTCACAACTTTTTAAGAAGAAATAGACACTCTATAATCCCACGGAAACCTTCGATACTGATATAGATGGCCAATTTATACCAGGCAATTGGAGAGAAACACCAAATGAAAACATGTCATCGCTAATCCCTATTAGAAGTTTGCCCCGAAAATCACCTAAAGAAGCACAAGACATTCGAAACGAGTTTGCTGCATACTTTACTAGCAATGGTCGTGTATGTTGGCAAGACCATTATGCATAAATTCAAGTTATGTAAAGGATGAGTCATTAGTGTGTCATCATGGCGGGTCTTAATACAAATGTTACCTATTTCATAATCTTCTTTGAAATGCAACCCCATATATTTTATAGCATTGTTGATTGCCATTTTTAATGCACTTTGAACTTGTTCTCCGGCTTATTTCTTACGAATTATAAACCGAGGACACAGTAGTGACTCACCCTGTACAAAAATCCTATATAAATAATAAAATACTTACGCATTCTGTCTCTGTATCAATTGTTTCTCTTGGTTCATCTTTGTCAAGTAAGTAATGCATTCTTTTAAATGCATACCATTTCGATACATACACATCTTGCCGACCTTCAAAATGCATTTTTATAAATACCTTCAAAAGAATCAGGATATTTACTGACCTTTGCCTGTCCCAATACTTTTTGTTCCTTTTGCCTTTTCTCTACGAAATGACCCTTTCTGTTTCGCTTCATGCTCTTCTACTTTTAAGTTATACGCAATACGTTCCCACGCATCTGCTTTTTTCTTTCTTGAATAGTGCTCTGGATGTTTGGCATTCCATAAAATCGGATATTTTTCATATTCATCTATTAATTGGAGGGCCTTTTCATTTTCCCACTCCATATTTTATAAAAGATTGTGCGCGAACAACCGTTCCTACAAAAACACCGTCCACACTGAGCACACGTTTCCTTTGATGTACCGACAAGCGACGGAAAGTATTAGTGCGGGAACGCGCTTACGCACACAACATTTTTGGGTGGTATTGACTTGAGCAAATTTGCGCGCACAGCGTTCGTGCGCGCAAATTTGCTCAAGTCAGTACGCGCCTTTATATAAATGTGAATGTCTGTCCAGTCTGTCAGCATCACAATATGGAGGGTCATAAACATTTAAGTACACTTACTAACTGATATCTGCCCAATGTCATAGGCATGATTTTATCCATGAACTCACCGTAGATTCTGCAAACAACTGTCGTGTCAATACAATATTGTTATTGTTGTTTTTTTATATATCGAAGCAGCCGCGCAGGCAGATGCCTAAATGCCGAGACACTGCTATGATGATCCAAAAGAAATTTTGTTGATCCGATTTTTTAACTGCCTGAGGTTAGTAGGCTGGGAAAAGCTTCGTCTTGTAGATTGTTCCACAATCTCGACACCATCGGGACAAACGAGCGGTCGTATCGGCAAGTTCTGGATGTACGAAGTTCGACACGGCTAGGATGGGACGCCAAAGTCAGGCGGGTCTCTCTGGAAGGCACATCGCGCGGCGGCATCATGGAAGGGAGCTCTAAGGAGCAAAGCCCGTTGGTGTAGCGGTAGAAAAGAGCTAGATCACCGACGGCACGCCGGTGCGAAAGAGTCCCGAGTCTGTCTGTTAGAGAAGAGTCATCGATCAGTCGGACCGTCCTCCTCTGGACAGCATCGAGCATAAATAATGTTGCCGGGGCGGCAACACCCCAAACGTGTGAGCAATACTAGACTAGGCCTTATCTGAACCTTGTATAGAGTTATAAGGTCATGCGGAGAAAAGTACTTCTTAGCCCCAAACAAATAGCCTAGCTTTTTCCCAGCAGCTGCCTTAATTGACGACATGTGTTCGTGCCAAATCAGGTCCTCGGTGATCTGGACTCCGACCAGCCGAAATGAATGGCTCTTTGGCAGAACTCGGCCATCCATCGAAACCGGATGAACGCTAGGACGCTTTTTGTTCGTCAAAGTATAGTACTGTGTTTTGGAAGCATTAAGCTGTACAAGATTGTTGTGCCCCCAAGCAGTGATAGCCTCCAGGTCTCTGGTCAGAGTAAGTCGTCGCTAGTCTTCTTTTTCCTAGCTCACCGGCAGAAATCAGCTTGTCACTTTGAATTCCTGCATGTAGAGTGCTGTCATCAGCGAAGCTGTAGATTTTGTTGATCGTGCAGAAAAGGAGGTCGTTGATATGTAAGGGGAACAGTGTTGGAGCCAAGACCGATCCCTGGGGAACACCCGCGTTGACGTTGTGGGATGAAGAGGAGAACCCGTCAATTACGACGTCCAGAAAGACCGACTGCCATTGCGCTGCGACATTACCCTGTGGCTAACTTTCATACCGTGCTGGTTTTTGGCATTGCGAACCGCTTCGTTATCTTATTTGTTTCTGGAATCGACGTCGGCTTGTCTGTTCTCTGCAGTGGGGTTTTGTAAGTAGGTTCTGTGTGCCTTGATCTTCTGCTGGCGAGCAGTGTCACGTGATTTCTTAAACCAGCCGTTGGACCCTGGTTTAGGCACTTTCACTGTGTGAGGGATGTATTCCTCCATTCCGACGTGGATAATTTCGGTTATCGAAGAACAGACAGCCGATGCATCCGCGTCAGTGAAACAGACATATCTCCAAGAAGTCTCTGAGCCCCTCCCAGTCGGCATGTCCGTAATGAAAGTTTTGCGACTTGTTCGAGTTTCTGCTGCCACAGCGAGTTCTGACCGAAATCTAACCTCCACAACACCGACGCGGGGTAAAAAAGTATGGCTCGTCGCCAGCTGGGTTGGCCTTTGAGTAAGAGCGAAGCTTCGACCGCACCACCTGCTACATCGGTCTTGTTTGAGCTCAAACCAAAGCTCATTATGGGCATTGAAATCGCCGAGAAGAACTACCTCTGAAGCGGGGTGATTGATGTTCAGGAAGTCAATCTTGATGGCGAGGTATTCAAGTAGTTCATCCCAGTTATGGTCCGAGGGAGAGCGATAAAGGCAGCAAATAAATTTGGGTGATGTTATGTTTTGGAGTTGAGGCGAAGCCACAAAATGTCCTTCCGGTTTGATTCCAAAGAGACATCTCTGGAGCAGGAAAGACTGCTGCGGACAAAAGCCACAACTCCCCTGTTCTTTCTCAGATTGGAGTACACCTCGTACTTTGGGAAGTTAAGATGGTTAATCGGTGCAGACTCTGAGATTTTTGTCTCCGCCAAGAAAAGCATGGCGGGACGATTGGACTTCAGGTAGTGACGAACAGCATCAATGTTGCTGTTAATCAATACAATTTAATGTAATTTTTTCATGTGAAGTTTGAAGTATCTATAAAACGGTATACGCTGTTATATGTATTTAGAATCTGGCGTAGAATTCAAACAATCTCAGTCAAATTGCTCCCATTAATAATACTTAAACCCCAAAATCGCTGCAGTTGTACGCACCTTACGTTTAACATGTGCAAATTCGGCAGTTTATACATACAACTCTGACCATGGGAAGAAAGTACGTTTGTCAGAATCTTGAAGTAATAGAGGGTGAGACAAATACTACTGTCCAAGCAGTCCAATAGGATTTATGCATTCAGGTTTCGCACCCTTTCATATCAAGACGATCTTTACAGTAATTTTTCCATTTGGCTGGCTAAGGCTAATGTTTTTGTTCTTGAAATGAGTTGTTTTACTTGCACCAAGTATTGATTTTTTAGTCTTGGTCAATAAGATACTAGTGAGAAGTGGAGAAATATGCCATTGGCTGCACATTAGTATATCCTGAGGTGCATAGTGCCGACGGATATAATGTACCAAGAAAATAATGACTTTCTCCACCGAGGTATGTATAGAATTTTGTTCACAATATTTCCACATTTGATTTGATAAGACTTTGAAATATAGTATATCTGAAAATTTTATGAACCTCCGGCAACACTGCCCGAATAAGACAAACGCAATATCTGCATCACAAACGTATCAAGAGTGGGACGCTGCTGCTGCGTGATAAAGTCCGTAAAGATAGAAGATGTGTTGGCATATAAGTCGTTTTCAAATACTCCAATTTAGCAAGTAGCTTGGGACGTTCCAGCTGTCAAAATAATGGAATGAATAGAATCAACAACAACAAATTAATTCATAAAATAGCCTCTTATATTCACTTGTAGTTAAGCAATATAATTAGTAATATTAAAAAATGTATAAATGATTTAATAACAGTAGCTCAACAAGGTGAAGTTCTATTTGGATGCACACGTTCGTTATTTTTCAAGCGATTTTTATATTATCATTATTTACCTAGGCGCAGGGCCGTCTTAGGCCATGCGGGAGCACTGGGCCCACATGAGCTTGGGGCCCCAAAAAAATCGAAGACAGGCGTACTTCTTATAAAACAGATTCATTGAATTACAAATTGCCTTACAACAATATTATGGGCGTGATTTCATTTGGACAAAATCTGCAAAATGTCACTATAGACATATGGGACAAACTGGTGAGGCGTTCTTGTGACATGGACGTTCTTGATTCATTTTTTGTTCTCTTCAACTTTGAAAAAGACCGCTCTCCGCTGCAGTTAGTGACCATTAGATACAGGAAAATTCTTGTTGCAATTTCCACATTTGGTAATGTTCCCTCCAGTGTGTCCCTCCTCAAGAGGCTATGCAATGCCGGAATACTTTTACCCGATCCATTTTTCAAGGTCAGCAGATAATGTCCCAAATGTGAACATTCTGTCAGTTCAGCTTCACTGATATCTTCATGGTCAGTACAGTTGGAGTTATACGAATATATGTCACCGTTATCGACTGCTTTATGAATAAAAGTTGTAGTAGTCTATGTGATGGCTGGATGACGCAACCTGTAGCTTCGGTAAAATTTTGATTATCATTCACAGAATTTAAATCCAAAACATTGCATATAAGCATTTGGCTTTTGGGGGCCTCTCCATTATGACGGAGCCTTGGGCCCGGACCCCGCGAGCCCCTGAGTTAAGACGGCCCTGCCTAGGAGGGAAGTGCAACTTCTCTATGTAGGAATGCCGTAAATAATGGCTATTTCGCCGATTAGTGAAAGAAAAACATTATATTACATACTTTTTATTTTTTGGTAAAATAACAATGTTATAAAATAAGAAAAATATATACAAAACCGTTTAAAACAACATATTATATTTCCAATCACACTTCAAATTATAAGTGACCTCTTGAACCGCGGAACACGCACAATTATTGACGTATTGATTATTAGTAAACTAATACTTATATAATTTTGAATTACTCAAATGGAATGAAATGCAATGGTAAAATCCAATATCCATCTGTCACTGGTACACATGAACAAATAAACTATAAACGACTTACGATGTCAGAAGGTACAGCCTCTTTACTACTTGTATTCGAAACTTTTTATGTTTGTATATATAATCTAACCCATGAAAAAATATAAATATGTATCAAAAACCAACCCAACCAAAGTAATACGTGTTCCATACAACATTTTAGGTCCTAAATCGATAGAAAACTTTCATTCTACTTAAAATCTAGTAATCCAGTCGTCTGTGATTATTATTTTCTCCTATTTACCTGGTGAAGTAGTGAAGTCAAGTAAGTAAAGTTTTTATTAACCGTTTCCATCTAGAAAGTTGCAACTTCCATGCAGTAACCCAGTCACTTATTTTTTTCAAACGAAATAAGGTAGCCTCGTTTAAACATAATGTTCAATAGGAAATAGTAACTGTATATTCGTATCAAATTAGTCACAGACTGGCCCGGTAATTCAACAAGGTCATCAATGGTTTTGTGTGATTTTCATAACGATTTTAGTTCTGTAAATACGATGGCAGCAAGTTCTGCAAAAAATATATAATTTTTTGGACAAAACTCGTTTTACTATATCAGAAGACTTGGGTTTTCTATAGCAAAATACATCTCTCAAAACTTCTGAAACAATTCTGATTTTCCCAGCAAGATCTTTTGCTTATCGCTTTTTATTGTTCGACTGTTACAAATAAATAATCGACTATAGAGCAATTCTTCAGCTTCTGGGTAACGCAGTACACTGATATTGAATATTATAAAAAATCATAATCAAATGACTTTAGGGAATCATTTGCAGCCTCCCCATAACTCCCATGAATAATCCTCCATTTTTATGACAAGGCGCCCTTAATTTCTAGATAAAAGTACAATAAGGTCGATCGCAACGTATGAAAAAAGGTAATTACCTAATTTTTGATCTCAACAGGTAGTAGGCGGTTTTCCGTCGACCGGGGAGATACCACCACTATCACGATGTGGATCACTGAACTGCATCCAAAATACGTATATTTTAAATACAACAGCCCTTTTTTCATTCCCAAAAAAATTTCCACTAATAATTAATATTCGATGGTACGTATATCAGTGTACTACTCGGTATGGGCGGATTTGCCATAAGCATGACAAAAATACTATGGTGACAAGACACCCACGACACAAAGTAAATATGTGTAAAGTCATTAGTTCATTCACTGAATCAAAGCAATTACGTCACAACGTCAAATAATGATAGTGATGCACATGGTTGCCACAATAATTAAAGCTACTAGATCCTAGGACGTTTTAAAAAATCTACTTCATGTCTTCGATGCCTTACCGCATTCTAACATTACGGAGCGTATGTTTGTGTAAAGGTAATAATGGAGCTCCATGATCTCGTTTGGTCTCAAAATATTTCGTCAAAGAAATGACGAGTTCTTGTCGACCCAGAGGTTTCGGCATTTTAGCAAAATGCTTAAAAGGACACCCCAAAGTTTTGAAAAACTATGTTTTTATAAAATAACAATGCAAATATTGAGGTAAAAAGAACGAAAACCACAAATAAACAACAGCCGTTAACGTAATTACCTGACAAGCTTTGCGACAATGTCACCACACAGAAAACTGTTACCAACATAAATATACGCGGTAAATTCGAACTATACGTACCAATTTAGGATCTATTTTGCATTAAGGTTGGCATTCAAACTTTCTAAGTATGACGTAACTGCTTTGTTTCAGTGAATAAAATATACATAGCGACACTTAACCCTCATCCCTTTTTCCATGTGCCCCACGCCCTGAGAAGTAGAGGACCTAGGGCGATCAAGACTGCTAGATACAACCTAGATTTTACATCACATTTATGGAATTTCATCGCGTCCAAATATCATCCATTGCTTTATCAGATAGATGTTTTTCGGGCAAAGCCTTCAAAGTCCGCATAGTTTGCAAATAGAAAACCATTTCCGAAGTAACGACACCATGTTGGGGGCCACCGTTGTTCTGGATATTCATCTTTGACAGCTGCTCTCTTAAGCGCACTTTGAAGTTCTTGTGAATGGCCTCATAGATATCCACCACCTTCGGATAAAAAAAATGCAAAGATACAGATCGCATGGCACTATCAATTCTGATAAACACATGGTTCAAATGCAGTTTAGAAGTTTGTTAATAGAGGTAGCCTACCATAAATGTGCAATACTGAACTTTCAGGACCCCTATTCTTGAAAACGAGGGAGTAAAATGATGAGGAGAAAGTCGGCGAGATCCGCTTCCCTGGGGGATGATTTCAAATTCTGATAGCCTTTGACAGTAGTTTATGAATGCATCTATTTTCGGCAAAATACCTTTCAGAGTTCTTCATAATAAACGTTTCATCACAAAGTTAACTTCGCCTTTAGAGGCACTTCCGCACTTGTTCTCCCGAGAATGACTCGGGGAGCAACTCTTCTATCAGTGATCAGGGATACAGTCCATCGAAAGGTGAGAGAACCACTTCGCACTCAAGAATTAACCCCTCGATCGATCATCTGGTTGGTTTTGGCATAATTTGAATAACAGCTTGAAAACAAAACAATGGAGGCGGGAATGCACTCAGTACTCCCAGAAATTTTGATTCCCTATATACAGGGTGATCCAGATTATTATTTTTACCGTCAAAGCGATATACGGCAAATAGCATTTTCTGGAAAATATTACTGTATGACAAGTAGGTGCTTTAGCTTTCCACTCACTGGCGATAACCCACGTGACGTACTGGTTTCCTTTACACTGTGCAATCTCAATAATCGCTATATGGATTCTAACAAAGCTTGAAATGGGTTATAGTACGGTCACAAGTTTCGAAATGGGTGTAAGGACGCTAAAGTCGGTAACGAGAAAAGAAATCAGAATATCTAAAATGTATGCTTACATTCTAAAAGCTTCTACAGTGTAGATGAAAAAAATCACTTTGTTTTTCAAAAGTTCGTATTTATTTTCAGTGAAAATGAATAACGTACAAAAGACTAAAGAGTATACAATAAAGTAACAAAAAAGGAACACATCTATTTTCTCGTAACATACTTAAACAATCTAAAACCGATGTTGACTTCTTTTTGGTACTGAAGTCATGAATCATACAAAAATATTGAATGGATATTCTCCAATAATTACGCCAAGACCACAGTTGGTCAATAAAAAAACATCTCGCGTCACTTGGGTTATAACACCGCATAACTCAAAACTAACAACTTTATAGGAGCAAAAAGATTCGCTATCAAATGACAAGCGTATATCTTATAATCCTCCATGTTTTTCTGGCCGCAAATGAAACCTCATATGCTTGAAATACTGATAAATGTCTTTATTCATACACATACATCAGTAAGGCGGAATCCTTTTTATTATCCTTATTTTGTTTTTTTTTTTTTTTTAGTTACGTGTTGTTAGAACTTAAGCGACGACATATTAAATTCCAAACATGTTGAAATAGCAATACTCGGTTTACATCATTACCTGCTATATCAGAAACACCATAGTTAAAATGCATGTAGGATCATCATTTCCGACACCTCGCCAAAAACTATTTAAACGGAGTGGACGCTATACTCTTCTATAGTCCATATTATTTCGGCGCTACCGAGATGCTTTTTGAACCAACTTATGCGCTCATACATCGTTGCAATTCGGTATTTTTGGAGGCCAGAAAATGTAACAGGTATGTGCAAGTTGGATCGCTCATTTTTGTAATATTTTGATTGCAATGTCAATGAAAATGATTGAACCGTGTGTTTAACGAAGTGTAAACTTGCACGCCAATTGAGAGGAAGGGAAGTGTCAATCAAAAATGTTCGAGTCAAGCACTGTCGAGTAATCGCGCCCTCAAGTCGCTTCCCTTCTCAATAATGGACGTGCACCTATAGGCACTGGGCGTATACAGGGTATTTTACAACTTATCCGACAAATTTTATCACATATGCACTGTTACGAAAGAAGTTGAATTTAAAAAAAATAATAAAAGTCCTACAGAGATTAAGTTATGAACCTGAGTTTCAATAATAAATTTAAGAATAAATATGTATCTGTATTTTGCGTTCATCGTCGTGATATTAGAACACGCATTAATAATTCATCGTAGCAAATGTTGTTCCAAGCAACTGACGAAAACAAAATACCTGGAATTTTTAGTTTTTGCATACTGATAAGAACGAGTAATAAGGTTTAATCTTTATCGTGGGTGATCTGAAGGAAGACCGGTCGATTTTTGTGAAGTTAAATAAGAAAGTGTTTTGCGAGTTTATGTTTTTAGTTATTTATTAATAAAAATGGCACATGTGTACACTAATGAGGAATTAGTGGACATTGTTTTAACATACGGAGAAGCAGAGCAAAATTCGAGAGCGGCTTCCCGTTTGTAGCACACCAATTTCAGAAAAGGCACATACCACATCACGAAACATTTAGTTCAATTGTTTTACGTGCACGTGCTAGTGAAGATTTGCGCCCCAGACGTGGAGTGGATGGGGGCCGGGTTCACCCACAACGCGTTTTAAATGCCGAAAACGAAATTTTGGATATTGTGGAAGAAAATCCGGGAATAAGCAGAAAGCAGTTAACCCAACAGGTCCCAGAAGTGTCACATGCAACAGCGTGGCGCGTATTACATGAGGCCCAACTGTACCCTTATCACAGAGAGTCCAGGTGTTGCTACCTACAGATTATCCAGTAAGAGTAAGATTTTGTGAGTAGTTGTTGCAAGAAAATTCTCGAAATGCCCGTTTTACAGCTGATATTTTGGCCGTCGATGAAGCTATTTTTACTCGTAATGGGATTACCAATCTTCATATTATCGGAATTGTCGATGAACGTCTAATTGGATCGTTCATATTGCAGATCGAACGGATGGTCACTAGTATTTGGAATTTCTTCGGAATGATTTGTCGGTCCTTCTTGAAGATGTGCCATTGGCAGTCCGAGCACGGATGTGGTTTCTGCACGATGGGGCACCTCCACATTTTCGTTTAGAAGTTTGTGATTTTTTTATTCAGATATACCAGTTACACTTGATCGGAAGGGGTGGACCAATTGCATGGCCTCCACGGTCTACCGATCTAAGGCCTCTGGACTTATTTTTCTAGCGATACTTGAGAAACGAGGTATACCGTACTCCAGTTCAGAATATTGAAAAATTGCGTGACTGAATCACTGTGGCTGCTGATAATTTGAGCCTTCAGGCACTGCAGGAAGGAGGTGTATTTGAATTAGTGCGCCGAAATTGGATTAGACGCGCCCAAGCTAGTATTGCAGTCAATGGAAACAATTTTGAACAGATTTTATTAGTCAGTGAACCGTTAAACTGTATTATTTTATTATCTCGATTTCTGTAGGACTTTTCTTAGATTTTTTTTTGAGAAATCAACTTGTTTCGTAACTGTGCATATTCTATTATCTCGATTTCTGTAGGACTTTTCTTAGATTTTTTTTTGAGAAATCAACTTGTTTCGTAACTGTGCATATGTGGTTAAAATTTGTCGGATAAGTTGTAAAACACCCTTTATATTACAGACACAAATCCGACCTTACCTGCTCCTCTGGTAAAACAGAACACACAGCCTCATGTAATTTCGTCAAATGCCTAGAGATACACCTGAACTGCTTGCTAGGCAACGGCGGTTTGGCATCCCACTCTAACAACTGATCGCCTAGCAGCGTATTCATGATGGACACCACCTTGACCTCTAGCTGCTGCACATGGTGGTTGACCTCCACCTCGACGGTGTCGAAGCACGACATGGCCTCAGTGGGTGCGAGGGGGGAGAAGTGGGATCGTATATGTGGTATCATCCAGAGTACCAGTTGCAGGCTGCGGGACGCTAGCGCCAGGTTGGTGCTGGTGATAGTTTTCAGGCCAGCGGTACGAAGGGCACCCGCACCTGACATTGAAAAGGGGTATCAGTCTTTGTCCACTACCGCATCAAATTAAGTTCCTAATAGGACCGTATCCAGTATGACACGAGTAGCTGCATATCAACCGCGTTCTATACTAGTATGCACCAACGAATTGGAATAGATTAGGAGCCAAGCCTATAGGGTTCACAGTGTATTGTTTGGCTCCAAAATACATAGTGTAGTTTTAGTGCATACTTTTGACCCATTTGACTACCATGGAGTACCAAATTGACAATGTGTATCAACATAATAATACAGAGGAAAGATCTACCTTCATCAGGTTTTCATCGCTCTTTGCAAATTATGCAAGTATTATCATGTCCTAAAATCGTCTAACACCACAATTATCTGCAAATACTCTTACTTTTGAAAAATACGAATTTGATGATAGACATTTTGGAGAGAAGAGACTTGCTCATTCTACCTAGTCTGAATTCGTTGGTATGCACCGCATATATATCGCATTTAGAAGTGGTAAGTGTTCCATTTTAGCAACGCCGCTTTAAGCACAGAGGGGGTATCTGCAGCTATAATCGAACCGTGAAGAAGGCGATCAAAGTTTGAACCTGTGATTCATTTGTGCAGATCCATCAAAAAAAATGTAAGACTTTAAGAAAACTATTGTTTGCTACGACGCTAAAAACTTTGCCAATGTAGAGAAAAAATGACACTGATGTCAATAACCAAATATGCCCAAAAATTACAGATATTCCCATTGTGATTAGCATGACAGAGCTGACATAAATGTTAAAATCACTAATTTTGTATATCGACTTTGTGCTGCAATTAGTTTCAAGAAGCATAATTGCTATCATATTCTAGATAAAAATTATCAAAAAAACATTATCTTCCACCTTTCTCCTCCAAAAACATCATTCATTCCAACTGAGGCGAAGCGACGCTGAGGGAACTGCGGCGACATTTGACATTAGCGCACACTGAGAATGAAAACCAAATTTGTCTGATGGCTCGAGTTCAATGTGTACGAGACAGAAGTGTGTATAGACACATATATTAGAAAGACATAAAAGCCGGCTGGATAGCGAAGCTCATCACCACGTTGGTCAGTCAGTTTTTCTAGAAATAGTTTTTTTCGTCTACTTTTTATTAGTTATTAGTAAAAAATCGTCAGGCACAACGTAGTACAGATTATTATGCGTTACGGTTTCACCGACCACGAGATTATATTATTTCGCCCTTCTCTATGCACATGTATACCTATATCCATCTCTAGTAAAATAAAATTAGCCTCGGCAGCTTATTTTCCTATGGAAAACTTTCCCGTCGCTCCGTTTCACTCGTCTTCTAGTCGACATGCTATTTTTTTACAGGACTATTGGAGATTTTTGATATCCATTATTGTATTTCATGGTTTTTTGTTGGTTCATGATTTTATTTTATAAAAGGGCCGTATCGTCAGTCGTTCCTACAATTGTGGGACGCCTTTATGGCCTCCTTGATTGTCATAGTCTTTTCTCTCCTTAAGAAAGGCTGTGGTGTTTCTAGATTTCCCCGGTTCCGTGTCAGCGCTCTATTTTGAGGTTATGTCACAAACATCTATGAAAATCACATAGTTCATGCTCTTGATACATTTTATCATCTGTTTTATCATCCTGGAATTTCCTACTATTCAAAAGGAAAACATAACTTCATAATTCTGATATACTGACGATACGGCCCCTAGTGTCTCTGTTTGATTTGAGTAACTTATGCCAGTACAAATGCAGCCTAGAAAATCAGGTTAATTTTTTTATCTAGAGCGAGACTTGGAGTTGCCTTAGTCATAAAACACATTTATTACGCGTCACCTTATTTTTCGGATTGAGGCCACCCCCTTGTTTCTGCACTTGCTATTGCCCTTGGGGTACATATCCTTTTGTCATAGGCCATCAGTCTATCCAATACTGTACTGTGCAGTAGTGGGTTGGTCAAGCAACAACAAAAACAAAGACGTTTTAAAGTGCATTAAAATTACAGAAAAAGGAAAATCGCAATTATATTCCAGCAATGAAATGTCATTTTCCTGGGTAAACCATCTTTCTGAAGGTGACTTACTAAAATTAACCAAAAATTAATTAAAATCGTTAATTGGATTAACCACGCCAGTTAGTGTTACATTTTGTCTTTATTTTCAGAAGCATTTTCAGACTAGAAGTCCGCATTTTTATTGTAAAGCTTCTGTGTAAATGAGTCGAATTCATATTTTAGTATAGCTATTCATAATTATTTTCCAGGTGCCCAGTTAAAGATAAAGCCTACTGCAAGCCTCTATGAAGCTGCCTTCTTGCACTCTCTTGTGATCATTATTCAGGAACATCTCAAATGTATGTTGTGACTCTGGGTCATACATTATCAGTTTTTTACCATCCTCCATTGTCTGGTATAACGGTTTGATGTGAGTTTGATACAAGAAAACAAAAACGGTGAAAAATCCTAACCTAACAATATCGACACATTATCATTCTAGAGAAGGGGAACGGTATTGCCAGGTATTGGGCAGTGCCGAGTTACTCTGAGTAACACAAATGAGGTACTGAAAAGCGGCCCTGGTCCTGCGACACCGTAATGCTGGCCACCAAACGATCAATATGCGAATAGCATTTTGCCATCTGTTATGAGTTACTCTATCTTGGAATTGAATGGAATGCATGTTAACCACTGAGCAGCTTTACTTTGAGCCTACCTAACACCAGCTGGCACGACTTGGAATTAAACGTCCTGAGCAGATCGGCCAGATTCTTAGCGATGACCGACGCCAATGCGGGCAAATCGAACGCGCAGACGCAGTACTCGCCCACAAGGCTGACTAGAATCAAAGCGACACCGACGGTGAGGTAGTCCTGGCTTCCCACACGTAACGCCGCTGCTGGCGAAAGGGCGTCGAACGAGTGGTGAGGACCATTACCGGTTGCAGGGACAGGAGAGCCGGGGAGAGATTTCACGTCCCCTATGGATAGCTGAAAATGACAATACATACACTTCATTCATAAATAGTTACTAGACACCACAGACTATTAGTACACTGCACTTTTGGATTTTAAACAGTTTTTTGACGTTATTGTTACTAGGGTGACATGTAAAAAATGGTATTTCAATACTAAAATTCAATTCGATGCTATTACACATTTTTAATCGATTTCAACGTTACGTATATTTGTATTTATAATTCTTCAGTATTATGACAAATTTTCTAATTGAACTCTGGACATCTAACGCTCTTTTCCAGTATCAGACATAATCACTATCGCTTCCAACCGAAGACGTTCGTGACGGCCACATTCGGACATCTTAGGTCCCTTCTGCTATTGAATTAGCTATTGGCAGTTCGCATAGCAAAATATTTCTATCCCATAGACACACAGCAAAGCACAATCAAAAAATACATTAGTGTTGAAAAACTAAAACCTAACCCTCGTTGCAAGAAATAACAGTTATATCCTCTTAATGTCTTGACATCAGTGTTTTAAAACCGTGACATAATCACGACTTTCGAATAATGATGAGATATGGGTATACTGATATCCCATGTTACTCAAGAAGATAAACCCACGCGCATGCGGTCAGTCTATATCTCTTTTGCACGCGCGACGTCACTCGGTGACAAAAATCCGTAGTGAGGGTTTACAATCATACAATTTTATATAATTTGTTATTAGTTTCATTAGTGTTATCTGGCGTGTTTCAACTAAGTCTCTGTGTGAAACATAATTAAAAAGCAGTGAGTTATATTTAACTATGGTGTACTGGACAGGAGTGGGTTGGACAAGCAACAACAAAAACAAAGGCGTTTCAAAGTGCATATAAATTACACAAAAAGGAAAATCGGAATTATATTCCAGCAATGAAATGTCATTTTCCTGGGTAAACCATCTTTCTGAAGGTGACTTACTAAAACCAAACCCAGATTTTCTAATTAAATGGAATGAACTCGACCATATTTCAAAAATGTCAACACATTCATCAAAATTAACCAAAAATTAATTAAAATCGTTAATTGGATTATCCACGCCAGTTAGTGTTAGTGCAGATGCCAAACATCTGTTTTTACGAGTATACATGTAAAATGTATTTTAAAATCAGAATGTTAAAGAAAGATATAGAAGAAAAATCTAGATTTGAGACGATTAAAATGATAAAAATTGTAAAATAAACTCAATATAAGTGTTTAGATACTTTTATTAGCACCTACGCATAGACAAGATTTAAAAACCATTTACACAAAACTTTTATACAAAATTATAATGATATCATATGTACTGTATCTATCCTATTCTCCATCTTTCTTCTGAATAAAAAGTTAATACAACAAATTAATATACGTCACTGATGCACAAATGTATTATTTGGAACCAATTTACTTTAATAAAAAAGTGAGTCAACTTATTTAGAGCTTTTATTTTGGCGCATTTCAATTATTAAGTCTTATGTTATTTAGTATTTCCACGTGTCTATTCTTAATTTTTCAAAAGTGAACTTCGTAACGGCTGCACCGGCGTAAAAATGTATTCTGACTATAACGATATACTTCATTAAATGGTATTGGCAAAACATCAAAATATAAATAAAACATTCTATACAATACTAAAATTATCATGTAAAATTTATACCACAAAAAATGTTATGCAGATATTCAAAAGAAAACGAAATACAATGCATTTCATATCGTCGAGCGGAACATTTGTCACGAAATGACGCCGTGTGCAAAAGGGCACGGAATTCGATCGCGAAATGAGCATATCTTCTAAAGTTATAGTATTGTCCTGAGTAAAATACTACGATGAAATCGTATGGAGCCTATAATATAAATATCGCTTGCAGGACATAATAGTCTTACGGTGGTATACTATTCTCGACCTTAGCGGCTAGCGGGCATTCGCATCTCACGCACATTCAAAAGTTAACGTCGTGATGCTATGATGCCATTCGCCGTTGCTGTGAAGCACCTAGCTCCCGAAGTCGTGGTCAGGTCCACGGTATTTGGTAACAGTCGTGATTTGGAAATAAATTACAGTTCGTGAAATATCTGCCACCAACACCATTTTTACCAAAACGGAAAAGAGTAGCATAACACCATGTACACCACTGCTAACGTGTGTCTTTGAATATAGCGAGATCCACGCAAACCGATTTTGCGAATGCAAAGGAACACCGCACTAGCAGCAGTGTACGATGTGTTGTGCTACTTTCTTCCGTTTTACTACCCGAGTATACAAACTTACAAAATGGTGACTTTTCTGTTTTGGAAAAGAACAGTTGTCCCGGGATTTTTTGGCACGTCTGACTCTACAATTAACAATAGTGCTTTTGACATTTCAAACATTGATATGACGCCCTATGTACAAAGTAGAATATAAAGGTTACATCCCTTGAATAACCTTGACATACCTTATCAACAAGTATCTGTATCTCCTGCGGAACCTCGGCGGCACGCCACCTCTCCGCATCCAACAGCAACTGCAGCTTAGCCTTGCGCTGTGCGTGAAACCGATGCACGTAGCTGCCTGCTCGGATCTTGAAGGCGGCCTTCAACGCCGCCCCCGGTCGCCCGCAAGTCGCTTCGCACAGCCGCGAGAACGCATCCACCGCCTCCGAGAGTTCCGATACTTGTGCGGCTGTTACAGCTGGTTTCTCGGATTGGGTGCTTACCAATGATGCTAGCCTGCGGATATAGAGAAGATTCAATTTATTTATCACATGTTTGATATGTGCAGTTAAAGATTTAAATTCATTCGAATAACAAATGAGCGCCTGGCTGGACAAAATACCGAAAATTAACAATCATATGCATATAGACACACTGATTGATTAGTCCCTTTTTTCCCCTTCTTATATCTTATTTGTTATAGATTTTGTTTACGCCTGAATCTTTGTGATATCTTAAAAAATAATAGTTATATGTAGGTGTAGTAGCTAATTTAGATAAATTATTGAATACAGACTAATGCCCACTTTAAAGTGTTTGTAGTGGTGTGTTTTTAAAATCTTTTTAGTTTAGTTTTGAAGCATTTGGATATCATGCCCACGCACAGATTACTCTTTAGTTGTTAATACTCGTAATTCCACTGATATAACAAATTCGACTCGATATATTTTTTACGTATAGTGGATGTGTATTTTGGAGACAAATAAAAATATTATATTAACTAAGTATTAAGGAAAAATGTTCAGAAATCCTTTAGTATCTCTCGAACGATAACTTGTTCGGATCATTATCTACTTCAGGTTTGTCCCCACAATACCATAGAATTTTTTGATGAAAATATTCGAATTCAAAGCCATAAATGAGCAAGGCGTACAGAGCTTTGCTTATAACCATGGAGAACGAAAAAAAATATATATCAGGGAAATGACCTGAGCTGGAAGGATTAAAAGAAAATCATGGGACGTCGCACATCACATTTTCATAGTTATGCAAGGTGAATAAAGTTATAAATAAAATTATTACCTACCTTTCATTACAATAATCACAGACAGACGTCAAAAGATCCTTAAGTTTCATGACCACCCTATTGTGGTCTTCGAGGCTCAAAAAATGGCTTGAATCACACGACGAATTCAATTTGGAACTACTCGTTAGACCGGCACTTGCGGCTGCAGTATCTTGTATCACATTATGTACAGCTTTTACCCTAAGTATTAATTTACCTGAAAAAATTAATGAAGTTAAGAACCGTTCAGCAGTGCAAGTGCAAACACAAAAAATATATGTTAACGTTTATTTCCAACTAAAACCGTTAAAAACCTATGTTGGCATTACAAGAACGGGAATATACCATTTTTCATGAACGGTACTGTACCCCAATACCTCTAATCTTGAGCGCAGTAGATTAGAACAAGAACGGGAACTCTTTGATAAGCGGCACACTTCATACTAATAGAGTTTAATAATACTTTGTATTAGTTTGAATACATACTATATCGTCAGAACGTAGTAGATATCATTTCCTTCCTTCCTATTTTTTTTTCCTTTTCAGTTAACCCTATTGAATACTGTAGGTAAAAACCAATGAATTCGAATAGATTAGAAGGAGCCAAGCCAAGTTTAAATTGCAATGTTTGTCGCCAAAATTGCGTAGTTTTAGTGTATACTTTGGGCTCAATTGTCTACCAATGCCTACCAAAGTAAAAGCGTTGTATCAAAAAAAAAATAATAATAATAAACTTTATTAATGTTGGGCATGCAAAAGCACTCACATACGTCAAAAAAAAATAAAAGCTTATAGTGCACACAAAGGTACACACTCATCATTAATACTAAATAAAACAAACCAGGCACATTCAAAAGATAAAAATACAGACAAGTTCAAATCACACTTAATTACAATAAAATATACAGTATGAGCCAGAACAGGGATCTCGGCTCCTATAATACCTACAGCAAAGGTTAAATGGAGAAAGTTGTAGAGGAAACTTGTGCATTCGATAGCGATAGCGGCTTCAGATTTGCGATCAGTCAATTGGTTTTGGTAATATCGGCGAAAACCCGAAAATGTCGAATTTTGTTTTTGGCCAGTAAAGCCAAAACGGTTAATTTGACACCTGTCAAAATGTGACACTATTCGGACTTTTTTTCAAGGCAAATATGACATCACCTTTCATTTTTCTTATGGCCGCCATATTGGATTTTCCGATTTTTGAAAAGAGCGTAAAATTTCCAGCCTAGTGATGTTTCACAAGTGCATAAACGATTGGAGTATCATCGAAATATCATCACACGCAATGTTATGTATTAATTTTCTTCTAAGGTGGCCATGATTTATTTGTCAGAAAATAAAATTAATAAGTAACGCAAAAAATGTCAAAAACAATCGAAAATGGCCGGTATTCCATACTAAAATGAAGAAAAGTCTGACATGTTAGCGCTGTACTTGCAGTCTCACAGAAACGCCGACATTACCTCAGCAAGGTACCCGGAGATGTACCCCGAACGACGGCAGCCTCATATTTCTCAAATGAGAAAAATAGCAGTTAATTTGATAAACCTTCGAACAACCTAGAAGCGGATACAATATTTAAAATGAAAATCGCGACAGAAACATTTTACAAGCTGTCAACGAAATCCCTAGTGCATCAGTAAGAACTATAGAACGATAAATTGGTGTGTTAAGATCAACAGTACAGAGGGTGTTAAATAAGAATAAGTACCAGCCATACAAGCCTACAATAGTTCCAGGACTTAAGGGAACTGATTTTCCAAGGCGAATGCGCTTCTGTGAATGGTATACTAGGAAGTCTAATGAAAATTTTTGTTTGACTACAACCTAAACGGACAGAGGTATCTAGAGCTTTGCGAAACCAGGTTGTGCCGGTTTTAAGAGCTAGTCTTACCGAAGATGAGCTTAGAAGAACCTGGTTTCAACAGGATGTGCCTTCTATATCCCCTGATCTTGCACTCTTGGATTTCTATCTCTGGGGTCACACAAAGAATGAGGTCTATGAATTTGATCCTCCAACAAAAAATTTTGAGCACAGTTATACACTAGCTAAGGTTGTACGAAAAACAGTCAACAATTTTCAAAAATGTCTGGATGCAAATGGGCGTTATTTTGCAAATCTGTAAATTAATACCCACTTACATAATTAGATTTTACATTACATTACAATTTGATAAAGTTTGTTTGTTCAAGTGTAAAATGAATTTACGACGATTTTTCTGACTTGTTTTTTCAACACACTCATGGTTGGGAATTTGTCCCAAAACATTTGACTTGTTGATAAGTCGATATTAACTGAATATTATATTGAACATACAAGGCGTTTATGTGTTTTTTATATCATTGATGTTATTTCCTGACAAATAAATCATGGCCTCCTTAGAAAAAACTAACATACATAACATTGCGTATGCTGATATTTCGGTGATACTCCAATCGTTTATGCACTTGTGAGACATCACTAAACTGGAAATTTTACAGTCTTTTCTAAGATCAACATGGCGGGTTGCTAGAAAACAAAATATGATTGAGACATGTCATACATGCTACCTTATTTTTCTTAAAATGTCCGAGTAAAATCACATTTTGACAGCTGTCAAATTAACGTTTTGGATTTACTGGCAAAAAACAAATTCTGCCATTTTCGGTCTTTCGCTGATAATTTCAAGACCAATTGACGGATTGTAAATCTGAAGCCGGCTATCGAAAGCACTAAGTTTCCTCTAAAACTGTCCCCATTTTACCTTTGATGTAGGTACAACATAAATATCGTATAAACAGCTTTCCGCTTTAGGTATGATGACAGTGTGGTCTTGAACGATGCAATGTTGAAAGGTCTAACTGATTCAGTAAGAGCATTAAAGAACTTGATACTGGAATAATTATGCCCATCCCTGGATCTGTCGATGGTATGGACATATCTTTACGGTATCTAGTATCATAGTTATCAACGTATTCGCCCATTATAAGGGATAATTGACAAAACGTCACATTTTTGCTAGTTTTCAAGTTTTTCAATAGTAAAAGCGATTTAAAAACATGGAGATATAATCTGGAGGTCATAGCAAAGATCTCCCAGCGTCTCTAATGATGAATGGACCCAGCCAGAAGGAGGAAACAGAAATTACGATAAAATCAAAGGAACTGATGACACCAGCTGCAGCAGACGAAAAGGACAGAACTATCCAGCGCCTGACCCTGATCATCTAAAGCCAGGCCCAGCAAATAAAGGAACTGACTGATGAGACAGTTAGGGCACAAAACAGTAAAATAGACTGCCTGGTCACCCAGGTAACACAGTCAATTAATAATCAAAATTTTAATTCCAAATCTGACAAGGCTGTCAAACTAAAAATACTTTTAGAAAATTTGACGGATAACATGACATCGACCGACGATGAAATACAGAATGACGGATTCATTCAGGTCAAGTCTAGGAAAAGACACAGCGAATAAACGGAAAAGACGGATGACTTTACACCTCTTCCAAAAGCAAAATCCAAATTCAAGTTGACAGTCCCCTTAAAACCGTAAAATGTATCAATTTCCACTGATATTTGTCCTATGCCAGTCGATGCAGCGACCACATTTCAATGTTTGGCCATTGCATCGACTGACGGTGCATTATCTCAACAATCTCACGTTGCTGGTGAGTTGAGCAGCACAGCAATTATTTTGCGTGATCCGGCCAAGTGGCAAAATCTAAACTTCTCCTTCATAAGCATAGGCATTAAGATAGAATGCGCAGTTGCCGTTGATGCGGGAATCAGGATTTTGCCGAAAACTGAGGATGACTACCGCAGGATCATTCGCCTGTTCAGAGAGGAGGACGTGCCCCATCATACGTTCCCTCTTCCTTCAGAACGGAATATTCACACGGTAGTCAGAGGTATACCCGCAAACTTTTCGGAACAGGAGATCAAAGGAGACTTATAACAGATGGGATATACTCATACTCCTCTCCACATTATCCGACTCAAACGCAGTGGCCGCGCACCCATGCCTTTAGTGGGCGTGATCCTGCCCAAGATTGGAAAGTTGCAGCAGCTGTTCAATGAACATGAGTTGCTGGATCTTACAATCAGAGTTGGAGTCCAAAGGAACTGTAGGCTTATTGGGCAATGTCACCGCTGCCAATGGTATGGCCATGCGCAGTCTTACTGCACAGTACCTCCCAAATGATTAAAATGTGCTTCCGACTACGTGACACATTTATTGCTCCTCACAGTCCCACTTGCAGATTCACCCACAGTGGAAATCTAGAAGTTATAGGGCAAAGACGCAGCAAGTCATATGCGGAATCAGCGGTCTCAACTTCTTCGGCTGCACCCTCTGTTCACCCACCCAAAGGTCGTCTACATTTACTAAAAGAAATATCCAATTCTTACAACTGATTCTGGTAAAAATATGCTGTAACCTTGGCTTTTCTTTCATGGTACGTAAATTTCTTGGAAAACATCAGGAAGGTGTGCAAAAAGGCATATAATGTGCATAGACTTTGCCAATCTAATCTGAACCACTAATTTAATATTCAGGGAAACCTGGTAATCAGCAAAATGTTTGGCAAACGGGGTACTCAGTACGTCTACTACTTCTCTAGATTCTTCAATTAGTAAGCCAAATTTACCCAGTGCATCACTAGCCGATTTGAGTACTCTCAACCAATGTGCAGCATCCATTGTTGGGGCTACCTCTCCACTACCTGTGAGCTCGTTAAGTTCATCTTCAGCATCAGCAAGCTGCTCTATCATTAATTGTTTCAATATGGCCTGAGCTGCTGTCACAGCCTCTTGTTTATATACCTAGAAATAATATCATCAAGTAAATGCACTTTAAAACCAAGTCAATGTCTATGCCCTAAATGTGACCGAGACATTTGACATAAAGCTTTCAATTATAAACCCCGGTTGATAGTTGAAGTAGTTTTTAACTATTCCCAAAAATCCCAAAATGAGGAAAACATTTAAAATGTATTTAATTTGTTCAGAGTCAGATGACACGAAAAACTTGAAACTCTAAGCATTTCATTTTTGACATTCTGGAATAGCCACTGAAGAAATATTTGAAAATAAAGCAAGTTCTTGAAAAAATATAGCTTTTTGTGTTTACCTCTAAAAAATTCATATGATTTTGCCGTAGAAGCCCTGCCACCAAACTTATCAATCTCTCTGGTTCTAAGACTCCTTCATCAGTACTCAATGGCCGATGCAAATCTGCAGCTGCATATCTTTCAAACTCTGTGCTAAGCATTTTATCTATAAGTTTTGACATTTCTTTAAGCTGTGATGGTAGGTGCCTCAAACTAGTTACCTGAAAATCAGAATGAAGTACGATATTTGTAAAATATTGATACACTTGCAGATGGCAAGATGCAACACAATCAAAAAATCAACAATGCAGTCCCAACCTTCCACTTTTGAGTATGTATTAGCCCTAAGGGAAGTAATACTCAAAGGTAAAGGTTTAGATAAGACAATATGCTTAATTGCTTATATCACATCATTACAAACATAACAATAGCATCATTTAGATAGCTACACATAACATATACATATTCTTACCCCAGCAAGTTCTTCTGCAAGAACCTCCTGTGTACTAGAAATAAGCTCTAAAGCACCCACATAATCTGATGAACTCAATAGCAACTGCAAAGTAGGCTGAGTCTGCAAAACAGTTGACATAAGCTTCAACTTGTTCAGGAGTTTAGTGTGATTTGCTTTTGATCTAGCTAAACCTATCAATTTCAATGGATCTCTTGCTAAATTTTTGTCAACCTTCTGTACTTTGGTCCTCAATGCTCTCACTTCGTTGCATGCATTCCCCATTTGCTCCATGATTGTATCATGAGAGGTCATGGCATGGAAAAAAGCTCCTGACCTCTGTGACACCTGTTGAAAATAGTTTTATTATAATTATGCTTCAGGATCCACTAATGACTATTAGAAAACACACAATATCAATTCCTGCTCTAGGAGCCTTTTGCAGTAAAGACCCTAGTGTAACCCATTGACACATCTCAATTGAAGAGCTTGATGGTTGCGAGCATCCCAAAACAAGTTTTAAAAAACGTTAAGATAGGAAGAATCTGAGGAAATTAGTAATTAATCCATGTAACACTCATTGTATCATTCTGTGGGTCTACCCTGCTTTCAACAGAATATGCATTAAGTAACTATCTGTAGTGATCTTTACAAAGCTGCTAGGTATGGCAGCTGCATAAAGCACAAATGCATTAGATGCACAAATTATGTCTATAGCACTCCTTGCTTTCATAGTTCAGTAATATAATGAATATACAATGTGTTATTTCGACAATAACAAACCCAAAATTTGAAAGAACTGACCTGTGAAGCAATCTGCTCTTCTACAATATCCAAATACTGGCTCAGTTCTTCTTGAAGTTGATGCTCACTCTTATTACTCTGAAACACCTCGGCGAACACTTTGGGATCATTCAAACTCAAATTTGGCCTTAAGTATATCTCTGGAATTCTCTCAATTCCTTGGCATTGCTTCGGTTTAACAGCATTGTTCTCAAATCTAGCCTGAGACAAACGTACATGCTTTTTATGTCGCTTGCCAAACTTCCTCAAGTAATTTTCAAAGTGAGCATACGTAATATCTGGCAAGAAGGGACTTTTTTCTATCACAGTCCTTTCCATGAAGGAGTCCCCCCATGTTTTTGTGAAGAAGTTTGTTTGTTTACCCCTGTTGGGGTCGGTCAGGACAGCCGGCAAGTGCTGTGACGCTGTGTAAATTGACCAGCGATCTTCTTCCCCGTTCATTCTGGTCCAGGCTCCTCGTAACTACCTATTTGTACATTTTTTTGTAATCGGTAACATCTTGGATTGTTTTTACAGCTATTAGTCAGATGACGCTTTTGACAAACACCTGACAAATACAAACGTGACAAGGAGTGACAAGCTGACAAGTCCGTCGTCCGTCAAATGTCAGTGACACACATAGAACAGAAAACAAGCAGGCGCATTAAACTGCTCCCACACGATGTCATTCTCGCTGACGTGAGATCACAGTGTTTTTAATTCACACCGTTCAGTATTTTTCTCCGTGCTGTGACAGTGCAGTTGTGTTCACGTGAGGTCGAGATGACCAAATTTTCAGCGGATGAACTTGCAATTATTGCATTAATTCTGGATTTCTATTTTTTTATACTCCAACTACGACGAATGCTTAAGGCCTAAACACCCATGGGTACCGTGGTGCTATAGGGAAAATGGGGGACGCCACAGGGACTCTGACACGGTAACACGTGTGCATGAAACATGCACACATTCTGGCCACGCCTACGAGATCCGCCGGGTGGTACCTCCGCGTTCCACAGTCAGAGACCGTCTACCACCTACGAAAGATGAAGAAGAAGAAACGAGTAGAAAACGGAAGTCCTTGTATACTAAGTGATATATAAATCTGAACACCCAGTTTAAATGGTTTTATTTTAATAAAAGTTGGTGAATGTATTTATCTTACTGTAAATAACAAGTGAAAAAAATTTCAGCCTTATCAGTTGGACATTCCGGTTTTTATAATGCTTTTTTTTAATTCACTAACGCTCTAAAAATGAATATTTCAGCCGCAGTAAAGAATCAACGTTAGCGGATTTTGGTTCTTGACATCCTTCACGATCGGTTACGATGCCTAGAGTACGGAGACCTGTACGATTTCGTCAACTTAGTGAGTTTGATAGGGGCCGTATAGTGGGGCAATTGCAGTTAGAGTGCAAAGAAGTGTAGACACTGTGGTTAGGTGTTGTCAGGCATGGCTTCGAGAAGGCCGTACGCAAAGAGCAAGGGGCACTGGACGCCGCCGTAGAACAACAGACCGTGAAGATCGCCGCCTAAGATTATTGGCCTTAAGGGACCGTTTCTCCACTGCCAGGTCCATTGCAAATGAATGGTTTGCAGAACACGGAAGACCTATTGGCATGCGAAGTGTTTACCGATGAACGAGAAGTTTTGGCTTGTTTTCATACCGGCCACACTGGGTCATCCCTTTAACTCGAGAACACCGACGTAATCGCCTTGAGTGGTGCAGACAACGGTCACTCTGGGATCAGGAATGGAACAGTATTGTCTTTAGTGACGAGTCTCGATTTTGTTTAGGGATGCACGATGGTCGTGCCAGGGTTAGAAGGCGACGTGGTGAAAGGAGGAATCCACAGTTTTTTGTTGAAAGACATGTTCATCACACTGTTGGAGTTATGGTTTGGGGTGCTATAGCTTATGGTTCCAGGTCACCCTTAATCTTCATCAGAGGTAACATGAACGCGCAGCGTTATATCCACGAAGTTTTAGAACCCCATTATTTACCCTATCTTGACACCCTGGCAGATCCAACTTTCCAACAAGATAATGCCCGACATGTTGCAAGAGTCACAATAGACTTCTTTCAACATAATGATGTCACATTGTTACCATGGCCACCAAGATCTCCCGACTTATCCCCAATTGAGCACGTGTGGGATATGATGGGTAGGAGATTGCTCAATTTGCAACGTCCTCCTCAGTCTCTAGAAGCACTACGAGAGGAGTTGGTGGTTGCCTGGAATGAGATACCACAGGAGGACATTGACCACCTGATCAGAAGCATGCCTAGGCGCGTTGGAGAATGCCTAGCACATCAGGGTGCATCCACACATTATTAAAGGTCAAAGAGCTTTAAAGCAGTGCAATCATTTTGAAATTTTTATCATTTACTTATTATGCTGCATTAAGTACTTATACAAAATTTTATTAAAATAAAACCATTTAAACTGGGTTTTCGGATTTATATGTCACTTAGTATATTTTGAATTTGACTGGTTCTACAGCGCGGGATGTACGCGTACAAATTCATCTAGTTTTTGATAATTCATGTTTTTGACCAATTATATCAAAATATTCACAAAATTACATAAAAACATGGCCGTGGAAATCGAAAAATATCGTTCCAAAACAATGCGATGATCACGGTACGGCGTCGTCGAGGGCACTGAGAACACGACGACTTCCACGTGCCGGGCTAGTGTGAATCAGTTCATCCAAATTCCAGGAAGAATGTTTTTATTTTCGCCGGGCGGATCACGTGCCGGTCACAGCAATGTCACGTCACTGCTGAGTATGAATAGGCCTTTACAATGTTGGACACATGGCCATTCGCCACATCGTGTGGAAGAGCGCTGAAGGATTGCATGTGTCCAACGTTCGCCACATTGCACGTTCGGGCTCTTTTCGGTAAATATGACCCGCTACAAAGGACGTTATATCGTTGGAAGCATGGTTCGTTACTCTCCCAGATAGATGTCATGTGTTTGATGGTTTTAGGTTAGAACCAGTAGCGGCGACAAACATTATTCATTTGTTTGCTGTGATTGTAGTGAACTAGTGGTATGTAGGAAGTATTTTGATTTGAATACCTACCTATTCATAATAATGTATGTTCCGTAACTAACTTTTGAGGAGAATGGATTAAATTACCATACATACAAAGCATAGGCTACCATAACACTTTTTTCATATTGCTGATATTTTGTTTCGCAAGTGAGTTATGGCTGGCCTAAGGATATGTATTTTAGTAAATTATAAATTATCAAATGCTTACCAGTTGTTTCATTATAATGTCCTGTTGCGATGCAAGACTAGTTGAGAAATATACTGACTTCCATTTCATAACTAACGAAAAAGATTAAATAAATAATAACTCTGAAAGTACTATCACGATTTTGATGAAATTTTGACCCTAGATTACTACTATGAAAATGACGAAAAAGCTCTGCAGCTTTTGAAAATCGGTACAGTGGCGGTGGAGCTATCGTCAAAAAACAATAAAAAAACGGTCAAACTTCGTTTTTCGACATTTTTGAGGCTTCTGATTTCATCGTTTACTTTGTATAATCTTTCCGTCAGTTGTAAAGGGTCAAGCGCGACACTGACACCGATAATAGATGTTGGCACCACCATGCGTCCGAGACTAAAAAGTTCATCCCATCGTGTGGGAGACACACTTGCCAATTGTGGGGTGTCGAATTATGTAAACAACGCTGGAAGCATCGTGTGGGACCCGCATTAAAGTGGTGTGTTGTGGATCATCATACTAAACAGCTCCCACACGATGCGGCGGATGTCTCACAACGTTGGACACATGGCCATTCCCAGTCGCCACAGCGTGTGGAAGAGCGCTCACGGATTGCATGTGTGCAACATTCGCCACATGGCACGTTGGGGGTTGGGGCTCTTGTCGGTAAATTTGACCCGCGTCAAAGGACGTTACAACGTTGGGAGCATGGTTTGTTACCAGTGCCGGATGCTCCGCTGTTCGATTTTCGTCCGCCGGCGGGCATGCCGTCACGCAGAGAGTGACTCTCATTTAGATTGATATGGATAACGTGCATATTTTCACCTACAGGCCAAACGGCTGGAATGATTTTCACGTATGAGGTGTCGTTGGATTTGTCTTAGCGATGCGAGTGACACTAGCTACATTGAAATTTTATAAAAAACAAAATGGTGGATTTAAATAAAAGATTTCAACCTTGTAATTCCTACTTCATAGGCTACAGATCAAACGGCTTGATATATTTTCACATATGAGGTGTCGTTGGATTCGTCTTAGCGGTGCGAGTGACATTAGCTACATTGAAATTTTATAAAAAACAAAATGGTGGATTTTAACATAATATTTCAACCTCGCAATTCCTATTTCATAGGTTACAGCTCAAACGGCTTGATAGATTTTCACATATGAAATGTCGTTGAATTTGTCTTAATGGTGCGAGTGACACTAGCTACATTAAAATTTTATACAAAACAATATGGCGGATAATAAAAGATTTTGACTTTGTAATTCATATTTCATAGTCTACAGCTCAAACGGTTTGATAGATTATCACATATGAGGTGTCGTTGGATTCGTCTTAGCGGTGCGAGTGACACAATGCATTAAAATTTTATACAAAACAAAATGGCGGATTTAAATAAAAGATTTCAACCTTGTAATTCCTATCTCACAGGCTATAGCTTAAACGGCTTTCTAGCTCCACAATAGAGCGTGTATCGTCACTTTACTGTAAAAACAAGATTTTTCTACATTACCTATATTTTAGTATGTTCTGTGGAGTAGGATTAACATGCTCAAGACGTTAATACTCCACTTCATTCATTCATCTTTATTTCACAGAACATCCTAACTACATACAAGTGTGAAAATGTACGCAACTCGAAAAGTAGAAAAATGGAGTTATCATCTTTTTGCAGTAAGCTGGCGGTATAACAATAAATGGAAATGACTTAGTCTGAGCCACATTTTTTCTCCATTTCCTTTTATGATTTCTGGTCCTTCAAGCTTTTATTCAGTTCTTTGATCCGGAAGAAAATCCTTGACCTGAGAAATAGTTTCTTAGCTTTTTCAGGGCAGTCAATGTTGCTGCTCTTCAACAGAAGTTCGCCTATAAAATTTTGCTTTTCTGTCACTACTCCGTCCCCATTGAATGTAGTAAACATCTTATTAAGCTTCTCAATGTGATTCATGAAAGCTGTGGAAGGTTTTGATAATCCGCTCTCACTAAGATGGTCTATCCAGGAATAAGTTTCATTTGAAGAACTTTTCAACCTCTCATCCTACAATTTATGGCAAACAAAGCCGGCCAAATTTTTCTGTCCATCATACTCGAGCTCATCTATTTCTTCCACTAAAACTTCCTCGTTATAGTCAGCTGATACTTCAGGTGCATTCAGTTTATTCGTTAATGATACGGTTAGTGGAATGTCCGGAGTATCCTCTTCCTCTACGTTGCAATACTCTGAGTATGCGCCTTCGTTTACACTTAAGCTCTAGGGGATAAGTTGAGCCCTTTGCCTTTTTCGTAAGCACTTTTCCTCTTTTCCCCATCAACAGATGTAGATGGTCCAGGTGATGATAGAGACTTGGGGAAATTTTCCATAGAAATGGCATCATCTTTTAGAGCACGATATCTTTTAGGGGTGCAACCCAAAAGGGTATGTTTCAAATTGACCTTACAAACCCTATCGCTTTTTACATTGACTTTGTTTTTTTTTGTATGATGTAGCTATTTTTTGCTAAGGTTTGGGTCTTGAGGAAAACTGTGGAACTTCATGTCTTTGCCAGGATTCCGTTTAGATTGGTAGTCGGAATTACATCCCACAACAGCACACCACATTTTTATTAATTTACTAACATCACAGGGTATATAAAATATGTATAACTAATACAACAAGTCATAAACCCACCAAAAATCACCAAAAAATTGCTCTATATAGTATTAACCACGATACATGTGCACTGCGGTAAATTTACGACAATCCTGCCACAGGTAACCACGAGCCGACAACTCTCTGGGTGACGTCACGAAACTCTGCCCAGATGCGCAACACCAGTGTATGTGTATCGTGGGTTTTAGGTTAGGACCAGTAGCGGCGAAAAACAGTAATTTTATTTTCTGCTCGAATCCACTTTCCCTTTTTGTGGATATTGCCCATTAGTTTCCTATTTTTGTTATATACCTTTGTCCGCATGATCATTTTCTCTTTGTAGATCCTTTGGGCTTGAAGTACCACAGCAAGCGACTATAACCGGCCGTGTAGTTATGGTTAGATGACGTCTTGAAAATTCGAGGTCTTCTAGCCAGTTTATACTACAATGTGTAGGTTGGCTCTTGTTGGGGACTTCGTGTGTCATTTTTTTTCTCTCTTCATCTTTGTTTCCTCAGGTGACACCCGTATCCGAATGTATGGGCATGTGTATCTACTTTTGTGGTTGCATATCTGCATTAAGAGGGATTCCAGATGACGCGCGTACGCCTGGCGCTCGCTTTTAAAATACACAGAAATGATACTAGCTGTTCACATGGCCGCGCGTATGAGAAATCGTACGCGCGTACGACGCCACGAGACGGAAATCTCCATACACGCGTCGGCCAGCGTCAACGCGCGTATATTGAAATACTAGACGTTCCTATTGCCTGTTTAGTTGGCGCGCGGCCGTTCTGGTGTTTTGTAGATGTACCTGGTGTGTCTACCAAAAATTTCTTTGTCACGTATTGTTCCACAATGCAAACAGAATGCAACACAGATCTTTTCATTGATGAAATTGAAAAGAGTCCTGCGATATGGAACCTGCATTCCAAATTGTATGCAAATAAAGCAGCAAAAAGAAATGTCTGGGAGGAAATGGTCTTAATTTTTTGCAAATCGGATGATACCGAGGAAAAAAAGAAAATATTAGGTAAGTTTGAACAAATGCTTTATTTATAATCAGTGTTACAATAAAGACAATTCAAATCATTCTATCCTGCCATTCCATCAGTTTTCCTTGATTCAAAAAATAGTTTGTCAATTTTTCCCGAACCCCATCTGCATCCTGTAGATTACGACCAGTATGTGAACGATTCAATGTTGCCAGTGGTGCTGCGTTTAGTGTATCTTCAAAATGATGTCCATCATTAATTCGTATTTAATTTTGTAAAATACATATAGCTTTAACAATACTCTCTGCGAATTCTATGTTTACATCCAATGGCCGGTGTAATATTCGCCATGTATTACACATACTACCAAATGTACATTCAACAAAGCGGCGTGCTAATGCTAACCTATAGTTGAATACTTTTTTCCATGTGATAAAGTTTTTCCACCGTATGGCCTCATTAAGTTTCCACCATGCCAAAGGCTTCGTCCGCTACTATAACATATGGTAATTTTTCCTCTTTATTCTCTATTATTATTGGCGTTGCATCAGGTATATCCAGTGACCTTTCTGTTAGCTTCTTGTAAAGCGTGGACTCTTTGAAAACTCCCGAGTCGCTGTCTTTACCATAAGCACCGATATCTACCCAAATAAAACAATAGTTTGAGTCACATAGCGCCATTAATATTAAAGAAAAATAATTTTTATAGTTATAATACATTGAACCTGAATATGCTGGTTGTTTGATTCGCACGTGTTTCCCATCCAGAGCAATTAGGAAACATTGCGTGTTTTTTAATCCATCTGATATTTCCTTCCACTTTTCTTTATTTGGTTTCTTCACGACAACGTTTTTCATTTTTTCCCATATTACTTGGCAAACGTGCTAAATTATTCCACACAAGGTAGATTTTCCTATCTTGTAACTGTAATGTAGTTCGCTAATAGAACATCCACTTGCCAGGTATCTAAAAAATGATAAACTAATGAACTTATTTTGTTTTAGGGTCATCATTACAAAAAAAGTGAAAAAATGTACGAGATAAACATGTAAGGGAATTAAAAAGAAGTACATTGAAGTCAGGCGCGGGTGCATCAACCCAAAGCACATATATATATACTATAACCGCCTCACATTTCTTCGAACAACAACCACAAAAAATGATACCGAGAGCAGTTTTGAAGACGGTGTTGATGCCCCTTTTAAACCTCGGGATACCCAGCAATGCCGGAAAAACATTAAGCTCCATCCAGCTGACGAATATTTCGCCAATATAATAGAGAAAAGCTTAACTAATAATCCTGCAGTAGCAGAAGATCAAGATAAACATTTTTGTTTATCTCTGTATAGTGAGATAAAAAAGTGCCCGCAAACATGAGACTAAAATTAAAAATTGGTATCCTTAACCTCATCTTAGGAAGACAGCAAGCACCCCCGCAGATGTCGAATGCTGCTTATCATGCTGAGCCGTCAACATCAAGGAGTTATTCTCATGAAGCACTTGGACAACAATATAGTCTGCCCCACTCGGAGTATCAGCTAAATAGTTACTCAAATACTCCGTATGATACTCGATCATATACATCAAACCTATCCTAGCAATGTACAAATACAAACAGTGACACCAGTACCAACTCCATCGCCGTCTGCTTCAACTAATGTTAGTGAAAATTCTCAGGAGTCATCAGAACTGGACTTGTTCACAAATACGACATACCGACTAAACTGACGTTTTGTTTTCATGACGAAGGAATGTGTTTAGTTTAAATTAGCAATGCATTTTGATTCTGGTTTATTGAATATTATCTAGTTTGTATTTCGAATATGACAATAACACATTTTTCCTGACTTACCTTAGTGTAACAATGAGTTTTTCTTCTGGTGAAATGCAATACCTTACTGCATTTGCATCTGCGGGAATATAATCCGTAAGGATGTGCAGTATGGTATCAAATGATTTTATTGACATCCTAAAGTAGTTGAAAAATTTAGGTTCATGTGTCCGGAGGCTGGGATACAGTGTAAGGTATAAACTTGTAGAAAGTCTGTTCCTTAAAATTGGGTGAACCCAGTATGCCCTTTCCCTCCTACGTCGTTTCATTCTTCTACAGGGTGACTTTGAAGTTGAGTCATTAATTTTCAGATAATGATTGTGGAAGGAAGATAAACCAAAATATGTGTGTAAAAATAAAAAAAAATTAAAAAAATGTAACTTGTTTTATAAAGTATCCTCCCGGCAAGTATTTCAGTGCGGACCTGTATTTGATCGTGCGGTCTTGGAGCACCGGCATGCCCTCCCCTGTGAGGTCTTAAGTCACCTGATTCACGAGCCCTTTGTATGTACTACATTAACAAAGGCACGAGGGGTTGGTTGCACTCGATTGGGAAACCGATCCGCATAAATCCGTGATGCCGCGGCAGCATTTTGTAAAGACTCCCTCCCGTAAATAAGAGCCATGTCCACAAGTTCAGCATTTTCGTAAACATGTGCCATTTTTTATTTCGTTTGAGCCACGCAACAAACACCACTATTCACTCACGCGTTACCGACTGACACATTGACTAAATACAACTGGATAAAATTGTAGTAAAAACATCGTTTCAAATTCTTTCGCTTTTTTGTTTCCGATGCGATGAACCGATAAGGCGGATTATATCCGTTGTTGCCAAACACGAGCACATAATATTATTATTGAGACAGGGCGGTACTCAAACTTCTAAAGGGCTATAACTTTGTTACTTTAATTTTACCAGAAAAATGTTAAAGGAAAAAACATTTCTTTTGATCAGATCTACTCACTGTTAAAATAAATGACTCAACTTCGAAGTCACCCTGTATATGTTAACCAAACACAAACAGCTTGCCTCACATGCATTCTGACTAAACACAATAAATTGATACTCGATTACCTATTCTTACTCTATACAGGGTGACTTTGAAGTTGAGTCATTAATTTTCAGATAATGATTGTAGAAGGAAGATAAACCAAAATATGTGTGTAAAAATAAAAAAAAATAAAAAAAAAATGTTACCTTGTTTAATAAAGTATCCTTCCGACAAGTATTTCAGTGCGGACCTGTATTTGATCGTGCGGTCTTGGAGCAGCATGCCCTCACCTGTGAGGTCTTAAGTCACCTGATTCACGAGCCCTTTGCACTACATTAACAAAGGCACGAGGGGTTGGTTGCACTCGATTGGGAAACCGATTCGCATAAATCCGTGATGCATCCGGGAGCATTTTGTAAAGACAGCCCCCCCGTAAATAAGAATCATGTCCACAAGTTCAGCATTTTCGTAAACATGTGCCATTTTTGATTTCGTTTGAGCCACGCAACACACTACTATTCACTCAGGATTTATCGACTGACGAAAAACATCGTGATAAACGTTTCAAATTCTTTCGCTTTTTTGTTTCCGATGCGATGAACCGGTCAGGCGGATTATATCCGTTGTCGCCAAACACGAGCATATAATAGGCAGGGCGGTACTCAAACTTCCAAAGGGCTATAACTTTGTTACTTTAATTTTACCAGAAAAATGGTAAAGGAAAAAAACATTTCTTTTGATCAGATCTACTCACTGTTAAAATAAATGACTCAACTTCGAAGTCACCCTGTATAAACGCTGTACGAAGTCTTACGCGCGTCATGTGTACACCAACGCAACAAACGTACGCGACGTCGACGCGCGTCATCTGAACTTGGCCTAATTCCGGGCCTGATGAAGCCATCAAGCAGAAATACGTATTGCTCAGGTTATCTATCCTACTTTCTGCTCGAATCCACTTTCATGATTTTTCTTTTTGTTATATACCTTTCTCCGTATGTTCCTTCTTTTTTTCATATATCTATATAATAAAAAGATAAAATGCCATGTACATGTACTTTTTCGGACTTCTCTTGTTCTTCATACCAGCACCTAGGTCAGATGTTTGACAAATCGGGAGAACACCTCATCTTTTCTGAAAAATATACAGGGGCTTCAAAGACAGAAACCTATATTCTTGAACTTTGACCTTCGAACATTTAAAAACTGCTAAATATGAAGACTTAATCAGGAAGTCATAGTATATCGTACAACATATTAGAAATTCAGTCAGTACGCTGTCCGTATGTTTAATTATATTTAATAAATCTTTAATTATCACTCATATCCATCTTTGTTCTTACGTTATTCAATAGTAGCAAGAAACCAATTTTATATTCGAGTTGTAAGGCTTTCGGCTAGAGTTCACCGTGGATCCAAGATTTTGAATATTCACTACACGTCAAGACAAACAAGCATTCATAGCCCGCTGGCCGATAGGAATGGGCGAATTCGAATGTCGCGCGCTGGCGTTTAGAAAGCGTAAATGGAGTTTTGTAAATGTCAGACATTTTAGAATAACTACTCACATTCCGTTTGAAATACTGTTTATTCAGTAGGCATTCTCGTAAACATAACAATAAAGAAAACATATATTCACAACAACTTATCCTAATTTAATTTACATTATACATATGTAAACAACCCCAAATGTTGAAAAGGGTAAAAATATTGGTTATTCAATAAAAATAATTAGCTTGGTGTATGAAAGTCAGCAAATATACTTTCTCGTGTATCTTTTTCACTACGGAGTTAAACAGGGCAACACCGCATCGCCGGTGGCCAGCAGTGAGATCGGTAAATCGCATACTTGCTAGCGACTTAAACCTGGAAAGCTATGTTGGAGCGAGGGGTCAGGTGAACCAACATTGAGGAATAATAGCTTGGATAGCCTACCAAAAATCTTACAAAATATATTTTGGTGAATATGTCATATAGGGCATTGACCATTATTGGAGAAACATTCAATATATATCTCTTGAAAATTAATTCCATATTCGGTAGAAAAAGGGTAACAACATATCGTTAGCTTGGAAGCAAACTACTGTCACAACTCAAAAATCGCCATTTTGGCAATTCTATAGACCAACCTTATTTGTTTCTCCGTCCGAAAAGACAGGTTTGGGATGGAAATGAGATTAAAAATCCCCGGAAATGGATCAGTTACAGAATACTGTTGGATTTTAAACTGTATGCAAAAAGTTGGCTCCTGTGTCATATTGTATCAACCAACTGAGGAATACTGCAGACATGGAAGTGGTGATAACATAATATTGTATATTATGATGTATTCAAATACATAGAATCATGACTATGGTATGTGAATACATGTATACCTTACCTTATGCAAGAGCAAACAAAGAACTTCATCAAGTGCTGAATAGTGTACACTATACCATACTACTAGAAACTCATATTTGCTGGAATTTCCATCACACAGGGTTACCAAATCGGAACATAGTCCAAAGCATATGGATATTAGGATCTATAATAAACTACCAGCAAGATTAAATACAACATCTGAATTTTCAAGAAAAATATTAAGTAACTTTTATTGAGCAAAACCTGCTATGCAGTGAATGAATTCTTGTCTGACAATGTAATTTCATGGTACTTTATTTTAAATTGAATGACATGTTCTATATCTCTTGTCGAGATCTCAAGAATAAATAAAGAATCAATCAATCAGTTAATATCAGGAATAATGCCATACAATTTATTTGAGGCTCAATACTTCCCATTGATAATGAACTATTTAAAACCCTTCTGCTGAATATTATTGATTTTTGTGTTGAGACAGTCATTGTCTATTACCAGAATCGACCACTGCGAAAGTCAAGCATCAAGCTGTATGTTGGAACTGTATGTCAGTTTGCATTGTCAGCCGGGCCAGCACTGTGGCCGTTAGATACTGCCGATTCTGGTCCTCTAGCCTACTCGCCATTGAACAAACTATTAATATGCTTTCATTCGATGTCCACCGAGACCAAGCCTACATCTTGCTGAAGAGTTGCCAAATAGCATGAAACAGCTGTCCATAGTTGGCCACCTGAGATCGGACGAACGAAAGCTATATAACTAGTTTGTGACAGCTTTCTTCCAAACCGACGATACTGAATAAAAATATTCCAACTATTCAAAACCAAAAAGCCAGATCAAATAGTTCAATGCCATCATATATCTATGATGCCATCGTTGTTGTGTATGAAAAAGTGAATCACAAGCCGATATATTTCAATTCCTTTGCAATTAATAAGTAGTCTTGATATTTTAAAACATAGCATATTTCTAAATTCCGAATATATCCTATAACAACAGTTTATGCTAGCTTGTAAGATTTTGTTTTGGTAGGCCCAAAATACTGAATACTATCTATACTTCACATATAAGGCTATAGCTATGACACCTTCAATCACAATATGTTCCCTTATGACTACAACATGGTGAAGGATATAAAATATTAGTAGACTAAAACTGTGCAAAAATGGTAACTTTATAAATCTTTAGTGTGATTTCTATCTTATGCAAATCTATACTGTGATAGTGGAACTTGTTATTTTGGCTATGAACTAAATATAATCTAATAATTGGTCAATCCTAGTCTCGTTATCCAATATGACCGATGATGGCTTGAATATTACCTTCAAGTTATCAATCTAGGTACATGTAGGTAAAAGTTCGGCAGTCATTTTCGCTTGACGACTAGCGCAATCATGTTTAACTGTTTCTATGACCACTTCTACAGCCTGTGTTATAAGTGACAGCGTGTAGGAAAATATGGACACACGACCGATTATCCTTCAGCAGAAGTGGACATGCTTTGTCAAAGTTACGTGTTCGAAAATCATTTTTGGGATTCAGCACATTTTTTCGAAAATGAACAAAACCTCAGAGTGCCATCAACCGCCATATTAAATTACACGTCACGTTTCGATTCACTAATTAAAATCACCATTCAAACTAAACCTGACAAACTAAAATTTACCACACCGGGATGTTTTTGTTGCAATTCATTATTTTACAATAAGGAGACAGAGAAAAGTCTGTTATGAAGTGATATTAATCAACCCTGCAGTTAAACATGACTAACAGCACACAAATGTTTTTAACTAGTTAATGTACACATAATAGCTATAAATCAATCGCAAATTAAGTACTGTTGCCTCGTTAAACTAAAAATGTTCACATTTCAAAAGATACTATGGTTTTGGTAGTTACTAGAATATTTCTTAGGAACTGATCACTTAGGTGCTATAGTAACCATTTTTCACCTGCCTTGCCAAATGGAATGCGAATCCGATACCAATGAGCTGGAAAAATAAAAAATTATATTGATTCGAAAATGTTTCAAGTAAATGAAACATTGTACTTTTACAAGAAAAATGCTTTATAGATTGATATTGAAATTAATGAAAGAATTTAGGTGCAATGCCGCAAGTAAAGATTTCTAACCAAAATTTAACTGACTATTTTGTTTTTTATTTTTGCACCAAAATACCTGTAGCCGAACCTTTGTTTAAAATATATTAAAAGTTTCAATAAGATGCGAATTAAGGAGATATGTATTTTCACGTGCATAAATGTCTCACTGGATATTACGTCAGACGCATGTAATGGATGTAAGTAAGTAAAAGTACATTTTTAAGTATTCAGTAAAGTCTTTGAAGATGCTTTAACTTTTACTAATTTTCTAGACTGATAATTAAAATAGAGCGAGGCGGCAAGAATTTTTGAAGAGCGGAGCGTAGGAATTTTTCCCAGGGGGGCCAAATCCTAAAAATCCTCCAAATTGTACTCGAAAACATGCTAAAAATGCAAATTCTATGAGGAGCCTATGATGGTAAGTGATACTTAGTCAATAATATTCAACATATGTAGCAACGAAATACCATTTGTAAGATAAAAAAATTAATTTAATTCGGATCCTACCGAAATTATCCCAGAACGGTTCTGACTCTGCACAGTAAGTTCTCATGATGTCAGAACTGATTTGTGATCGGCTACTAACAGAACTCGAACTGTTCTGGGGTAATTTTCTGTATAGCCCGAACAAGGCTAAAGTAAAATTATGGACGAGGTCCATATACAGGGTGTCCCGAAAAAAGTGTGCAATATTCTATCAGCGGTTTCTAGAACTTAAAATAAGAAGAAAGGTTTATATAAACATAGGTCGACACACGTCCCCTAAGGGCGCTACGGTCTTTTAAAGGGACTCTCAAGATGGTTTTTCCTTAATATTTCCGAAACGTGTTGAGATAAACACAAAAAAATTTATATTCTAGCCTAGTTTTTTATGCTGGATTTACAAATATTAACAATTTTAGACAGTTTTGTTTGGAAGCGTATGTAACAGGGACGGACTCAGGTTATTTTAGCCCCAAAATTTTTGTGTGATTCTATTTTTGAAATTCAATTTTAGAATTTGAAAATTTAGGGTTTTCTACATAAAAAGGTACTCTTATTGAATATCGATAAATTGTGCCATTTTTGAATGAAATCAAACTAAAAAATTTGTCACATGATAGGAAACGAACTGCGAATTTAAATGAATTGTTGAATAATTAGCCATGGCAACGGAAAAACTAATTTAATTATTGGTAAATATTACATAAATACATGTTTCTATTGCAACATAGCTAACATTTAGGCAAAAACAAAAGAAATACATTTTTTCTACGAACGAAATTAAAGTTTGTTTAAAAAAGAAGACATACAGTTGGATATACGTAAAACTAGCTTTACAATAAGTGTTCAAATAAATTCCCATTTTGTTGGATACAGAGTACCGCTCGACGAACTAATGATTGCGTAGCCCGAAAAGTGGAAAACCTTTTTCATTTGCAGCCTGATGGATACTTTGAAGTAAATCTTCTTGAGTATTTACGTCAGTCGAGTAAACTAGGTCTTTTAATGACACCCAAAAATAGAAATCTAATGGATTTATGTCAGGTGAACGTGGCGGCCACGCTATAGGACCTCCTCGGCCTAACCACCTGTCTGGAAAATTGACATTCAACCAATTTCGAACATTGCGTCCAAAATGTGCATGTTGAAAAAACATATTTTCTTGGAACTGCTGGCGCACATCCAATGATATTATATCCATGAACTCATTCTGAAGAAAGTTCAGATACACCTCTGAATTAAGACGATTGGGAAGTACAATAGGCCCAATTACTTGATCCCCAATTACTCCTGCCCATAAGTTCAATGAAAATCTATGTTGGAAATTTGTACGGCGAACAACTTTTGGATTTTCATCTGACCAGTGATGCATGTTATGGAAATTAAAACCACCATTCCTAGTAAATATTGACTCATCCGACCATAATATTCTAGGAATAGTGTTTTCATTTGCTAATATCCACTGGCAAAACTCGATTCGTGGTAAAAAATCTGCCTCCGTTATATGCTGCACCCGTTTAAAATGATAAGGATGTAATCCTTGCATTCTTGTCATTCTTCCTATCTAAAATTATTATTTTTAGGATAACTATCAAATAGGTATTCATATTTTATCTTACTATTGATCAAGGTATATCCATAATTTCTGAAACATTTCGTATGCTTATGCGTGGATTATTTTCAAACATATTTAAAGCAATATCCATACGATGATTTCCCAGTGGCCTTCCTGAGCCCTGCATGCGCTGAAAACTTCCATGGTTTGACAAATTCCGGTGAATATCAGTAAACATTCGACGTCCAGGTAATATGCGATTGGGAAATCTTCTTTGAAATTCTCTTACGGCCGCCAATGAACTGCCATTACAAAACCCGTACACAAAATGTTCTCTGTCTGTAAATCTTGGCATTTTAAATCGATTTAATAAACATTTTGATTTTAATCTATTAATTTTACACTGCTAACAATGTCAACTTAACGTCAAAATAAGTCAAATCAAAACAACTTTTGTTTGCAGTCATGGCTAACTATGTATAATCAACAATTCATTTAAATTCCCAGTACATTTCCTATCATGTGACAAATTTTTTAGTTTGATTTTATTCAAAAATGGCACAATTTATCGATATTCAATAAAAGTACCGTTTTTATGTAGAAAACCCTAAATTTTCAAATTCTAAATGAATTTCAAAATAGAATCACACAAAAATTTTGGGGCTAAAATAACCTGAGTCCATCCCTGTTACATACGCTTCCAAACAAAACTGTCTAAAATTGTTAATATTTTTAAATCCAGCATAAAAAACTAGGCTGGAATACAAAATTTTATGTCTTTATCTCAACACGTTTCGGAAATATTAAGGAAAAACCATCTTCAGGGGAGCCCCTTTAAAAAACCGTAGCGCCCCTAGGGGACGTTTGTCGACCTATGTTTCTATAAACTTTTCTTCCTATTTTAAGCTCTAGAAACCGCTGGTAGAATATTGCACACTTTTTTCGGGACACCTTGTATATGTTTTGTGAGATGGGGGTATCACACATGTCTAGTCTTGCCGCTAGGCTCACAACAGCTATGACGCATCCTGTACAACACACCTGAATAACAGCCAATGCAAAACAAAGGCCCCCAATATCAACTGCATGTGCCTTCACAAAACTGCCAAATGCTGCTTCACAACCTCGAGGATACGGTGATGTACTGGTACCAGGATATTCTGAAATAACATTTTACATTTTCATCATACATTGGTTATCGCTGCAAGGAATGAAAATAATACTTCTTGTGAAGCATTTAATCAGCATTAGCATTAAATTAGCACTTAATTCTAGTCGAGTCAGTTTTCGGGAAAAATGGACAAATAGACCAAAATTTCGAAACTTAAGTGATCGGAACATATAATTTATGAAAAAATTTAATGCTCATAGTATGCTGTGAATAATGACATTTCAAATAAAATTTCAACGGAAAATTATATTAATGCTATGATTATCCAATTCCAATTTATAACAAAATTTTACTCATGAAAAAATAACAATTATGGAACCTTCATTATTAATCATACATACATGGTCTTCTGGTACTTAGTGTCTTAGTGACAAAACATAGATGAAAAGCCTAGATAGAAATTTGTCTGACGGCTTTAGTTCAATGTGTACGAAAGATAAGTGCGAGACGTGTGTATCAACACATGTTAGAAAGAGATAGACGCCGGCTGAAGAGCGGTCATCACCACATTTCCTAGCAACGGTGGCGCAGAAGGTCGTGCAATCTGCCGCGTCGCAAATATGTTACACCAGAAAATGATCGCACAGGCTTCTACAATAGGTTAGGTTACTGTCAAACCCAAGAAGGAGGTCTGTACGAACATTTAATTTAATATTTTGTTATTATACACATTTTAAAATAAAGCGGATGTGTGTATCACCTCTTGTTTCGAACAAAAAAAGAATTCATATTCTTATATATGTACACATTTAGTGCTGAAATTTTTACATTTTTGATTAACCCGATTAAGATTTTATTGACATGCTTACGTGTAGTGGTAGGTGCATCACCTGCTATATCCCTTCTCTGTCTTGATTCAGTTTCGTTTTTTTTGGTTGGCGATTCTGTAGATAGTGTAGAAGGCGTAGATGGTGTAGGTGTCGTAGATGGTTTAGGTGTCGTAGATGGCGTAGTATCATCTTTACCAGTTGGCACTGTAGTGGCCATTGGTTCAGCATTACAGTAAAATACTCCAATGACACCTTCTTTCTTTGGGCAACACGATATTGGAAGGGATTTATTATGAAATGTTTGCTCCTCCCAGTCTCCAAAGTTTTTCACCCCACAACATTCAAACTAAAAGCACCGTCATTGTTAATGACAGCGTCATCATTATACGACAACATTTTATACTTCTATTAAATGATTATGGATCATTCAAAAAACATAATATCTGTATTTAGCAAAATTTTGCGGTTACAATACTTCTTTCTCGGCAGTTGGTGTCGGAAGTAAAACGGTAAATCGTAAATCTGGCCGTTTTAATAAGAGAGTTACTTTACATTATTAAAAATTATTATCACGTAAAATTGTTCGATTAACGCAAAATCTTGCTCCGCGAATCAACGACGCTTTACAAACTTCGAAAATAAAATCCTAGTGTCCACAAATTAAATCACAAGCATTTTCAGTGAGCTGTTGAAGTTCTTCCAGAGTATTTACTGCTACATCATGATACACCAACTTTTTCAAATAGCCCCACAAAAAAAAATCGCAAGGCGTTAAGTCCGGGGAGCGAGCAGGCCAAGAAATGGGACCCTTGCGCCCTATCCATCTAATCGGAAACTCATTATTTAGATGTTCATAAACTTTTCGTCTAAAATGTGCTGGAGCCCCATGATGTAGGAACCAGATATTCTGTCTCACATTTAAAGGAACATCTTCTAATAATTGCGACAGATTGCGTCGACGAAAATCTAAATAAATTTCACCGGTCAGTCGGGGTGGAAAGAAGTACGGTCCAATAAGCATGCCATTTACCACGCCAGCCCAAGCATTTAATGAAAATCTATGTTGAATGAGTTCTTTTCACAGCATGCGGATTTTCGACTGCCCAAACATGGTTGGGCAGTAGAAAATCACTCCATTACAAAATTAATTCCGTCAAATCTTCATTTCTTCATCTTTCATTTATTATGAGCAACTTCAACTTGAGCTGCTGTGTGTTTAGTACTCATTGTTGAGTCGTCTTCGACCATTTCTAAAATGTCTTCCTCAATGTGTAACATTTCAGGTTGAACAGGTCTTCCTGCATTTTGTCGGCACTCTCCGTATGTTAGTATTATGTACACTAGCTCATTGTTTTCGTAAGCATGGACCATTTGTTCGCACAAAATAATCAGACAAATGAACGTATACGCAGTATTAAAAGACTGATACAACTGATCGAACCAAAGACTCGTACTGAAAACCATACAAAAACTCAAAAAGTTTGCCAAATTTATGTAAACGATAAGAGTAGTAAACAAAAAACGCTAAGATTTTATTTTATATAGGTGATTTTTGGTATATCAATTACCTTTTGACAAATCCTATAAGCAGTTAAAATAAATGACTCAACTTTGAAAACACCCTCTATAATGCATATAATTTTTATTTTTTTTAATGATATTGAAACTAGATCAATTTTAATCAAATAATTTAAATCATATTTATACTTTTCTACGAAGATTCGCAACAGGATTAAAAAATATAGCTTCAAATCCTTATGCCACATCAGATTTTAAAATCATAAATGAGTCCAAAATATATTTCAATACCGCAATATTACCTCTTCTTGTATGGTATCCCACATGATTGCTGTTGTTATATCTTTGGTATATAAATTCATACTTCGTGTCAATTCTTGTTCCAAATAAGCTGAAGTCTTGTCCCTCAAAACATAACCTGCTATACCAGCGGAGAATTCAAATATAAAAATAACCCCTAGTAGCACTGAAAACTGGAAAAGAACAGAAAATCTTATCTGACTCGTAAAAGTGTATAGTTGCTATCATAGAAAAACAATACACAATGCAAATTGACACTAGGTCGTCAAATGTCTATCTATCTATTGTAACAAATGGGAACAATTGATGTATGAAATTTGTCACAGTCTAGAGCCTTTGTAAAATTTCAAACAATTCAAATTCTTGCAAATTTTTTGTTTCTTAGGATCGATAAAAAGTATGACAAAACTAAAAGCCGATTTCTCAATTGCTGGTTTAAACTCCCAAGTTTGGTAACTATAACTTGTCAGTTACCTATTATCTATCCGTAAATTGTATTTTAAGTTCTGGTTAGATAGCCTTTACGATCTGGCATCGACATGTATATCTCGTGTCATCCGTAACAACTCATGCCGCTGACAAGCAAAAAAGGTTAGGAATTGCGGTTTAACCGGTAAATGATCTTCTGGTTAAAGGTAATTATCGTTTTAGGACAACTCTGACACTGAAAAACCCGTTTTTCGACTTAGCTTCTGGTTAGCAGTAAAATCAGTGTTAACCTGTAATTGAAAGACTGGGCCTAAGTGATTTGTAATTGCAGTTGAAGATATAGCCCGTAATGCGAATATTTTTTAAAACGTTTCTTATATAAATTTCTTACCGCCATGAGCATTATCCAGTTTTCTTTCATTGCACCATAGCATCCTAGGAATGAAATCAACAATATGATGACACCAGTGGCAATAAGTAGATTTGGTAGAGAGAAATACTTCCCATCCAGTGCACTGTCATACGTAGCATAGTTGGATTTTACTTTTGCTCCAACACCTATTAATATTATGCCTGTTATCTGGAAAAAAGATATATATATATATATATATGATGAAGCCAACAAGTAGAAATCCGTACCGCTCGTGTTACCTATCCTATTTTCTGCTCGAATTCACTTTTCTTCTTTTTGCGGAATTTGCCCATTATTTTCCTATTTTTTGTTATATACCTTTCTCCGCAAGATCATTTTCTGTTTGTAGATCCTTTATTCCTTATATATATATATATATATATATATATATATATATATATGTATATACATACAGGGTGGCATATTCATGTGTGGACGGAATATTACTCATAAACAAATACATTTGAGGGCACATTTCTAAAATATTGGCAATTATACAGGCTGTCCCAATTTTGACCTACATATCAAAGTTGAGATTTTTTAAATGGAATGCCTCAAATTTTATTGCATATTTGGATAAACCAATCCAAAAGAAGAACGTACTATTTGGTTCTGGTAACTACCTACTGAGATGTAAGGTGTTTTGTCGAGAAAAACCGTCACTTCGGCAACCCTTCAATCCGCCATTTTAAAATTTGGAGTGCTGAATTTTGTATCAAAAAAAAACTTGCACACCTCAGCTTTTATCTCATTTGTTACTTTTTCGAATTTTCATTTTTGCTCATACAGGGTGGTCAAAAACGCGAATTGTACTTTTTCTCAAAAATTTAAAATGCACCACCCTGTATATTTATGCAAGTTTGGATTCAATTTTTATAATCCTTTTTTTGTATAAGGTTTGATTCAGATAAAATCCCTAGATTTTGAGTTATTAAGCTTTTAATAGAACAACACACCAAAATTAAGGAAAAAAATCACATCGTCCATGGAAACAAAACACAAACAGAGGGCTAGTTCCATATTGCCACTAAGAGCTCAGATTTGACGTAAAAACTAATAACAATCACATCAGTATAAATCAGCTTCAAGGGTAATAAAGAAAAACTATAACATCAACATAAACAAACAACTATCACTACTCAAGACCTAATCTACAAAAACTGCTCGAAAATATCTCCACCATGTTGAATACACAGCGGTAGTCTTTGGATAAATGTCAGTGGCACATCCCTCAGCATGTGTTCCCTTATGTTCAGAAAAGCATCCTTAATCCTTTCCTTCATATTTTCCGGGGTAGATGGTGGACATCTATAAACCTCTTGCTTAACGTAGCCCCATAAGAAAGAAGTCCGTCGGTGTCATATCTAGGGATCTAGGGGGCCAAGGTATAGGCCCGCCACGATCGATCCAACGATTGTTACTAGAGGTGTCCAAATAGTTACGCACACGATTATGATAATGCGCAGGTGCGCCGTCATGTTGGAAGTACATATGCATCCGACTTTGCAGGTTGACATCCTCCAAAAGCAAAGGCAAATGCTCGATCAAAAAATTCAAGTATTCTGTACCTTTTAAACAGTTGTCGAAAAAGAAAGGCCGGATAACTTGTCTGCCAATAACTCCTCCCACAACATTCAAGCTCCATTTATTTTGGAAATCTATTTGCCTAACCCAGTAAGGGTTTTCCGTCGCATAATAGTGCATGATATGCCTGTTGACAATACCTATGCTGTTAAAAGTTGCCTCATCGCTAAAAAGAACCTTATCCAGGAAAGTAGTGTCTTCACTCAAATTATTTAGCATTATTCTACTAAACTTCATTCGAGCTGCGAAATCCTGAGGACGAAGGCCTTGATGCCAGCATAGGTGATATGGATGGTGCTTATGCTTGTGAATTATCCTTTGGACAAAAGTTCTGAATATATCAGTTTCTGCTCCACGTTGCCATGCACTTAAATGGGGATTTTCCTACAACTTTAATAGAACCTCCAACTGATTCATCACAATGGTGACACTTGGATTATTTATACATTTTTTACCATATTTCACTGCTCCACTTGATTCAAACCGTTCTCGTAGTGTGGAAACTGTTTCCGGCTTTGGATGTCGCATATTAGGGTACCGTTGCTTATAAATGCGAGATGCTAGGAAACTATTTCTTTGGGCTTCACCCAAAACGAACATCATATTCACCATTTCTTATTTAGAAAAATTCATTTTCAAACACGTTTTTATTATAATGCTCACAAAGCTAATTTTGACAGTTTGTAACTAATCAACAATTGATTTGTTTCCAAGGATGATGCGATATTTTAGGGAATTAAGCCGTGTCATAAAAGAAGTGCTAATAACCGAAAAAATTGCCGTAAAAACCCTTATGTGTCTAGTATCAAAAAAAGGGTAAAAGAAAGAAGTTGAATCCAAACTTGCACAAATATACAGTGCATTTGAAATTTTTGAGAAAAACTAGAATTTGCGTTTTAAAATTAAAATTCGAAAAAGTAACAAATAAGATAAAAGCTGAGGTGTGTAAGTTTTTTTTGAAATAAAATTCAGCACTCCAAATTTCAAAATGGCGGACTGAGGGGTTGCCGGAGTGGGGGTTTTTCTAGACAAAACACCTTATATCTCAGTAGCTAAATACCAAAACCCCATAGTATGTTATAACAATTATCTTCTTTTGAATTGGTGGATCCAAATAAGTAATAAAATTTGAGGCATTCGATTTGAAAAATCCCAACTTTGATATGTAGGGATGAAATTGGGACACCCTGTATAATGGCCAATATTTTAGAAATGTGCCCTCAAATGTCATACATACATCCCATAAATAGATTTTCCTAAAATGTACTTGTTTATGAGTAATATTTCGACCACACATGGATGGGCCACCCCAATATATATATATATATATATATATATATATATATATATTGTACTCATAGTTAATTGCCTTAACTGTTAGACGAAAATATCCTTGAATTTTTTTTTGTAGAAGGTAAAGTATTTTTCAATTCGAAGTTTTCGACTTCCATCACTAACTTTGTTTTTAATATGGACGCTATACTGGAATTTTGTACATTATTTATTTATTATCTTATTATACATAAGAATAAAATATTACTTCTACTAAATATGTGAAGTTTATCGTGACACAAAGAAACGTATTATATTGATAACTAAAGGCGGAAAATTTTAATAGGGAGTCCATAGGAAAAGACCAAGGTTGAGGATGGAAATCAAAAGCAGAAACGTCTGTGAATTTGACTATGCTCTCTTGTAGAGGAGAAAGAGTGGCAAAGCTAATATGCAATTTGTTTTAAAATCGCATTTAAAATAAAATCAGAAAATAAACAATGTTTTTCCAATAACTCCGGTATAGGAAACAAAAAATGACTATCTGGTCATCTTGAGGCCTACCTAGGAAATTCTATTTTTTTGAAATAACTAAGGTTTGGTTATGTCCATATATGAGATATTATATATTTTTAGAATCAGAATTAAAAAGTCTATTCATCTACACAAAAATCCAATATGGCGTTCATTAGAAAAAATAAAGTTGATGCCGGAGAACAAGAGATGAAACGTCAAAGCTTTTTCGTACTTGGCACAGTAGTGGCCTGTAGCGATTACAATACTTCGCCACCAGTAGGCGTGGGAAGTTATAACAAACGAAGTGTCAGCTGGAAGACAGATAAACAAAATACATTGTCAGGATTGAATGAATGAATCTTGAAATTAGAGGCATTCCGGCCACCATAAGGAGCCAGTGCATAGGCCACTTAAGCGGGCCCTTATGCACCTCTACAATCCTTAGATCACAAGCCTCGCCCTTTTAGCGAAGTTGAGAATCGCCTTGAGTCCAAGCTCCTTGACGTCCTGAGGGTCCAAAGTAAGGGACCCCAGTATAGACTGCCTCAGCTTAACAGCGACACAAAACCTGCGCCGAGGTCTCTTCCTCTACCCCGCAGCGTTCACACAAGGGATCCTCAGCCACCCCCATCACGTGCAGGTGACGCCTTAACGTGTTATGACCAGACAACAGTCCCACCAGCCACCTTAGGTTGGCTCTATCCAGAGATAGGCAGAAGCGTCCATCCTTAGCACTGGGCCCTTCAATGAGTTCCCGCACCTGGCGGAGATGTCTGGAGATACTTCTCCATTTCTGAGAGTGTTGTCTTGTAACCCACGTCTCCATTTTCCTCCTAGCTTTATACGCGGACACTCCTAGAGCTGGCTCAGGACCAACGGCCTGGCTGTCTGATAAGATTGTTATTCTTCTCCTAGGCCCACCGTCCTCCAGAATGTGAGATACACAAGCCAGAATCGCAAAGATTTCCGCCTGAAAAATAGTGGTGTATCCACCGAGAGGCAGATATAGCCTAGTTCTAGGTCCAGAGACCCCAGCACCTGAGCCCCCTTCGGTGACCGAGCCGTCCGTGTACCAGACCTGCCCGCTCACTCCGGAGAGTCCCCGGCTACCGGCGTCTCACTCCTCCCTCGTTGGATACTCCACAATAAACTTACGGTTGAAGCGATATTTAGGGGTAATACGATCACCTCTGCTTAGAAGGACAGGGTCCTCCCTTTGCAATTCGACTAAGATGGCAGTATGCCCCTTGACAGGATTCAAGAAAGCCCAGCTGCCCTGACTCCACAGTCGATGAGCGACTACTCTCGCTTCACCGTTGTCAGGATTGATAGCCGAGTTCATGGCTGTGAGTTCATTTCGCCTGGTCGGAGTCCATATCACCGAGGACTTCATCTGGCACGAACACATTTCGTCAATCGCGACATCTGCTAGGCTCTTTGTTTAGGGCTAAGAAGTACTTTTCGCCACATGACCTCCTCACTCTATACAAGACCCAGTTAAGACCTAGCCTTGAGTATTGCTCACATGTTTAGGGTGATGCCGCCCCGACCACATTATTTATGCTCGATGCTATCCAGAGGAGGCTTTTCCCAGTTTTACTAACCTTCGGCAGTTTAAAAATCGGATTCGCAAAGTGTCTGGGATCCTCATAGCAGCCGCGGTACCCTGGCATTTAGGCTTCTGCCTACGCGGCTGCTTCGGTGTAAAAGAAACTCATACGAGAATATAAGTATATGCTTTTTTGTAAATTTCATGTCTGTCCTGTCTTAATTTTTATTATGTATAATTATATGTTTGCTATATATTATTACCATCAACTTACTATACATCTACTTTGATCTAAAGAAAGCCCACTCAGCATATGATTGATAAAAAGAGCACAATCTATTTTTACATAGTGTTGATATAACACTGGTCCCTGGCAACATTACTCATGTTTAATGGCTCATAAATTTTTATTGGCCTGACCTGAAGGAAATAATATTGTTAAAGGAAAGCAAGAAATATTTTGTTAAACCAAGTTTTGGGGCATTAAATATTAGATTTGGGATTATAGGTGTGACAATATAGGTAGGCTAATTGAATGGAAATTAACATATATAAAAAATGTTTATACTGCTGTCTCTTGCAAGCAGAAATCAATTCGTTTTATTAAACTTCATGGGTTTCAAAGAAATCGTTTGATGACAAGAAAGGTTTAATAATGCAATTACATATATGGAAGTTCTTTCTTGACAACAAAATGTGTTGAAAGAACTTATCTTAGAATGAATAACAGCTATCAGTAAAACTAAACAAGGTAATTTGAACAAAAAACACCTTATCATTGCATTGTCTTATTTAAGGAAATGTGTACTTAGCTTTATCTAGTCTCAAAACAGCAGACTAAGTCATTATTTTATAAATTATTGATTTCTCATTCAGGTAGAGTAATCATAAAACTGTCTGTAAATGTATCCTTAATTGTATTAGAGAGCCATCTTATATTAGCACGCTCATAGCATGTTTGTTCTGTTTTTGAAGGCAAGACTGCCCAGTTTTAAATTTCCCAATGTCCACAAATAAGTACTGAAAGATTAAACTATAATCTACTATATCCTTGCACATTATAAAAAAGTCTAAACTACATTTTTTACAGATTACAAAATATTATAATATAATAATAATAGTTTTTTTTTCAAGTTTTTGGGGTCATTCTGAACAAAAAGGGTTCTTATGAATGTTTCTCTTAAAATAATAATAATTGAGGTCTTTATTTCTTTACAACATTGTAATGCAGCTAACATAAATGACTGTTTTCTAGTAATTAGCAATTTAATGTCTGTAAAATACAAAAATGGCCATTTTCAATAAGTAAAAATTTGGTTAAAATCACTATTCCACTCCAAAACCACAAAGTATTTATTGAGACTTAGTGTAGGTAAACATTTTTTAACCATGCTTGATAGGCTATCAAATGGTGAACTTTTACTTTTCAGAGACGTTCAGTTCCTATTTTTGGCTACTTGGTCTAAACCGAGACTCTAATATGCAGTCCTTTCAATCTTCCATTTTATAAAGACACACTATTTCCTATACTTTTCATAGCCATTCAGAGACCAGATATATCAATATCACCACTTTTTGTGGATCTAATTCTACCTATATGTAAATAAAATATAGGCTTCTATAAGTATAAATATTTCCTGACTGTTTGAGGCTGGCTGAGTGATAGATCAGAAATATGATTGATGGAGCAATGTTGAAAGTCCAAATCATAGATTGGTACTGTAGATCAGTATTAAAACAACTGCTTCAAAGCTCCCTAATGGAGTTCAAACCTCTCCTTTCAATTTCTAACATAGTTTAGCTTAAGCAAAACCCAAAACATATTTGTTTGGGAGTGTTAAAACAGATCTATATAGATGTATGTTTGGAGTCTCATTTGGAGATAAGTTTCACTACATCCAAATCAGTTATTAAACCATAGATATACATTCAGGCATATTTAAACTCACATTAATATGTTTCTAATATAAGTATCTGTATATCATTGATGAGGATAAATGGAAAATCCTACTTCTACCTGTACATGGATCTGACATTATCTCTTATACATAACATATTGTAGGTATTATCAAGTTGTATATGTCATTAAGCATTTTATAGAAACGTGTAAATAAAACGTGTAATGGCAACTAATTTTTTAGACAAGGTTAGTTGAGATAACCCTGATATTTTATTAAAAAAACATAAGTACTTATTCCAAATTACTACTTACCACAAACATGAAATTAAAGGTAAACATAAGATATTTGATTGCTCTATTACTGCAGTTCATATTCATCTTGGACATGATTGATATTTATCTGTATGCTTCGGAATGACTTAACAGGCGAAACTTTCTACTTTTCTAGTATTCCCGGTACCCTGTCAACTACACAGAAAAATTGTATTTATCAATGAACACCTTTCAAAATATGTATTGAAATAAGGCACACTGATAAGGCAACGAACGATGAGGTGCTATACGTGGCTAGTTATCTTATTATTTATTTATTTATCTGCGCGCTCTCATTTAAATTTGGTTTCATGACATCGCGAGCGGTATTGTAATCTCGATTTCTCGATTGATGATTGTGAAAGGAAAGCACTATGAAAAGTGTCAAATAATCGATTTCTATTTTCCGCCTAGTGTCACAGCCACAGAGTATGCAACTGATATTACAAATTAGTTCGGGGATTGTTATGTGAATGAGGTTTTATCCCTGCTTCTTGCATCTTCATTAATATGTATAGATGACATAAAAAAGGCCAATTCTGTTAGGTAACCACTAGATAACTAATTATTTCGTGTATTCGCATCAGAGGAAATCTTTTTTTACATTTACCAATCTGTTTTGCTATGTACCCATTTGTGCTGGGCTATAACGGGATCAAGCTCATGCATCTCGAATTCGCTTATGTTCGGCTTGATGTCGATCCGAGTTGACCAATGACGAAAAGCTATTCAATTTCCGCCATGTTTACTGTCTGTTATTTGAATCGGTTAACGGTTGACGTAAAACGACTTTTACTTTTTTTGTCGGCAGTGGTGGTGTGCGGTTTTGAATTGTGATTTGTGTCCTTCAGAATGTTATATTACTCAAGGAAGTTCCTTGGTTGTTTTGGATAATATATGCTTCTGTTAAAATAGTTGCGAAAAGGAGTGGAAACTTCGTATATGTAGTATTGTTATTCCACGTCCACACATTTACTACTCTTCAACCAAGCCAAATCATGCAAGGGCCATCTAAGCTACCGCTGTTGAAAAGCGGAATTCCTAGGCAACAGTTTAAAAAAGCCAAAGATGATAATCACGTATCCAAAACTGAAACCACAGAAAATAAATTTTCAAGGTATCCCCATCTGAAAAGAAGATCCAAATCTACAACAGATCTGTTGGCAACAAATATTTTGCAGCCTCTCAGGCCTCTGCAAAGCATAATAGAAAAGAGACTGGTGAATGGTATAGGGGGTTCCACCATTAAAATTGCGAAAACTCTTGAGTTGCCTATCAAAAAGAATGTTGTAAGTAATAATGCTTCTAAAGTGGTACCTGCAAGTAGTTCTAAAGTAGCATCTGCAAGTACAAAACAGAATGGGGCAATCAGAAGGTATGTTTTTTTTAAATTGTATCATCAAATCTTATGAGTTTGCTAAACATACTACCAAACTACTTTGGATAGTACTAATAACAAAACAGAAAAATAATTTGACTTTGAGTCATAGTTGTCTTTTGCTTAACATACCTATCACCGAATTAAACTATGTTAGAAGGAGCTGGCCTGTATGTTTACAAGTCAGTGTTCAAAAGTGTTTGTCATCAATATAAGCTAGATTTGCGAACCAAAATGTCAAACCAATTCATCATTGTATAGGCCTATTCACAGTTTTTGACAGGTCAGGGTGAAACTACAAGAACTACTTCCATGTGTTAATCTCCCTCACTTATACATATGCAATCAGCCTTTATAAGCAGAATTGGTTTGCACATTATACAATTTCTCTTAGGGAAGTTAAGCTCTCTTTGCACTTGGTAATAGGTATTTGACAATCTGCTTACTTATTTCATAAGATATTGTGATGTAACTGACAAGAACTGTGAAAAGAGCTGTAATTTCATGTATCTAATTGAGATGTGTATTCTTATACAGCAGGGCAGAAATACTATCTGTCTAGGTTGCAATGTGAATCATTCAGTTATTTTCAGTATGGTGGTAATTTAAGTACTGCACAGAAACAAGTAAATAGGTATTAATGATACAGCAATTGAACAAATTCAGCTTAATATGTTATGTTGGAAGACTGGAATCTAAAAAATTGTAGTCAAAAAATTACAGCTATGAAGAAATATGTTATATTGGAAATAATGGAGGGAACTTTGACTTTGTTTTTAAAATACCTGTCTATGTTGTGTATGATCCAAGCAGAGCCTTGGCTAAAACAAAATACCTACTTGAACATTATATGGCAATTACTGTTTTTTTACTATTGTCCCACATGTAGAAGTGATTTATACTTGTTGTGGATTATTTTTTGAAGCATACTGAGGATCCTTAAGTGAATCTTAGCTGCCAAATTGAGAAAATGAAAGAGAAGAGAAAAACTTTTTGCATATAAAACTTTGTGGACCACTCAGCAATATTCTCTCGTAAGAAATGGAAAGATTTAAAAGTCAGAGCAGAGAAAGACCTTCAAGCAGTTTTTGATTATTCCTAGCACACTTTTAACTGCAAATTCTGAGAAAATATATTATTATCATTATTGTTAGCAATAAAATAGTAGGCAGAAAAGCCTGACGACACTGTTGCTTTAGTTCTTTTTTTATGCTGTGTAATCTATGAAATGTGCTGCTCTGTCTTCTAGTACCTTATCCAGATTCATTACAGATTATTCTTGACTGTTGTTGCACCCACTGTTTTTTCACTGCGGGAGTTCCAAGAGATGTTCTCTTCTTTTTCTAATTTTTTCAATTTCTTTGATGAAATTGGCTCCATACACTGTGTTCATGTTCAAGTGTTGGTCGAATGTACATCTTGTATAACTTTTCAATAAATAGCAAGAGAATGGTTTTTAACAGCTTTTTCAATCAAATATATTAGCGAGTTGACTTTTTTAATCTTGTTGGTAATGTGAGCTTCCCATTTTAAATTATGTGGTATATAACTTCTAGGTCTTTCAGGGACTGTACTTTTTCAATTTCTACCTGGCCTATACTGGAGTTTATATGAGGATTTGTCTTCCCAATATGAACTATAGTGCACATTTCTGCCATTTTTTCCATTCAAAACCTATGAAAAGCAAGCATTCCCATCCTTACTGGAAGGCGATTGTACAATGTAACTCCTGATTGCCATAGTTATATAAATCCTAGTAATGGCCAGTCTATGTTGAGGAGTAATTAATAAATTCTTGTTTCTGGTATTATGGGTGTGAATATCTTGATGAGTCTTTAACTCAGTAAAGTGTGTTCTTACCCATAACAAGCCGTGGAATGTATATAGTGCGGGAAAATTTAAGATGTAGAACCTCTTAAAATGATTTCTACAAGAATCACGACTGTATTTGAGAGATTATTCTCATTGCCGTTTTTTGTTGTCGAAATATTATTTGACAGCTGGTGGAGTTGTCCCAAAAGATGATACCAGACAATATCTGTCTTCGGAATAAACCCGTAATTACCTCTCTTGTAAAAAGGGAGATTTTTCTAAGGTGATGATTTATGCTAGAAAGCTTTATGCTTCATTGCTCTATATGATTTAAGGTTAAGCCAGAGTCGATTGTAACCCCTAAAAATCTGATTGCCCATTGCTCAGCATCTTTGAAGGAAGATTTAACAATAGTTGTCTTTTGGGTGATAGGCAGTTTGCATTGAACCAGAGTTTAGCTCTATTAATTTCATTTTAACCTGTTACTCCTGAGTTAGTGGTGTAGAAGATTTATCATCAGCATATTGTATGGCCTTAATAGAATCTACCATATTCAGTGAGAAATCATTGATATATATTATAAAAAGAATGGAGCCTAATGACCTATCACCTGTGTATTCCATAAGTTGGTGTCTATTCGATAAATAAGATTCTATAAATTGCGGTGTACCTCGTACATCATACTGTTTTAATTTGTTAAGTAGAGTCGAATGGCAGAATATAATACTTCATTATATATATATATAACAAAAAAAAATAGGATAATAATGGGCAAAATCCGCAAAGTGGCTTCGAGCAATACATATTTCTGCTTGTTGGCTTCATCAGGCCCGAAATGAATGCACATATGCAACCACATACCCATACATCCGGATACGGGTGTAACATGAGGAAACGAAGATGGAGAGGGAAAAAATGACACACGAAGTCCCCCCACAAGAGCCAACCTACACATTGTAGTATAAAATGGCTAGAAGACCTCGAATTTTCAAGGCGACATCTAACCAGAACCACGCGGCCGGTTATAGCCACTTGCTGTGGTACTTCAAGCCTAACGGATCTACAAAGAGAAAATGATCATGCGGAAAAAGGTATATAACAAAAAATTGGAAAATAATGTGCAAAATCCGCAAAAAGAAGGACAGTAGATTCAAGCAGAAAATAGGACAGGTAACCCGAGCAATACGTATTTTTGCTTGTTGGCTTCATCAGGCCCGAAATGAATGCACATATGCAACCACAAGAGTAGATACACATGCCCATACATCCGGATATGGGTGTAACATGAGGAAACAAAGATGGAGAGGGACAAAAATGACACACGAAGTCCCCCAGCAAGAGCCAACCTACACATTGTATTATGAAATGGCTAGAAGACCTCGAAGTTTCAAGGCGACATGTAACCACAACCACGCGGCCGGTTATAGCAACTTGCTGTGGTACTTCAAGCCCAAAGGGTCTTCAAAGAGAAAATGATCATGCGGAGAAAGGTATATATATAACAAAAAATAGGAAAATAATGGACAAAATCTGCAAAAAGAAGGAAAGAAGATTCGAGCAGAAAATAGGATAGGTAACCCGAGCAATACGTATTTCTGCTTTTTGGCTTCATCAGGCCTGAAATGAATGCACATATGCAACCACAAAAGTAAATTTTTAAAACTGACAGTATTTTAACCTGGATTATGTATTTGTTGAAGTAATCCTAGCAACACCTTCATCTGTTTGTCACGGATAACTAGAATAATAGGACTTAGTGCATAGGACTACCGAATACAGATTATTTGTTGTTAGGTACGATCGTTTCTTACAATAATTATTCAGAAAAATAGTGAAAATAAAATAAGAGCGTGTAGTGTCAAATTATTCGGACGAAAATGGTCCCTAAGAAAAAGCCGACGAGCCACCTCCTTTCTACTTTTAGAAAATCTTTAAAAGCTACTACACACAAGCCGGCGGCAATGCCGCCGGGTTTATGCCGAGCGGCAATGCCGCCGGCACAAGCCGCCAAGCATCATTCCGGTTGTGACAGTCACATAGAACGCTAGTGAAGTGCAACACACAAACCGCACAACACTACCTCTCGAATGCCAGGAAGGAAGTGACGCCGGCAAGCCGCGTAACCCGCCGGCACACCCCGGCGGCAAGGCCGGCGGCTTTGTGTGCCGCCGGGTGCACGGAGGCTTAGCCAGCGGCTTGCCCGGCGGCCCTGCCGCCGGCACTGTGTGTAGCAGCCTTAAAACGAATGTAAGGTCGTTCGCCTCAAAATGAAGCGATTTACAGGATCCGGGGCATCCTAGATCGAAAAATAAAATTGAAATAAAAATGACTTTATTTGTCAAATATTCACAAGTGAGACGTTGCTGAGTTCATTCGATCGAAATAAGTAAAAATATATAGGGTATTCTTATTTGAAAGTCGAAAGTTGGGGTCGTTTCCGGTCAAACCAGAAGTACGTCAAATCAAGTGAATATGCCAAAAAATGTAAATTCGTCTATAATACGCGACTCCCAAATTTCGTTTTTCTATCTTCAATAATGAAAAGTTATAGGGGTGAGCCACCTTGGATAATCACCCGGTATATATGTACATATAGGGTGTAAAGTTAGTAGCGGATCAACGGAAGTCAGGTGATAGAGGGCATTAAAACATATTGAATTAATCTCTGTTTGTGTGGTCCGAGATTTTATAGTTTGGGAGATATTTGCATTTTGTGAAATTTCGAAAAAACAGTGAGATGAAAAAAACACTATTTGCCCCAAATTGTTCTTTTGAGAAAATTAATGAAAACCGTATAGCTTTAAAACTGTTTCAGAAAGAACGTTTACTTGTATATGAAAGTTCTAGCTCTTATTATTTCTGAACCAGCTAAGCACTCATTATTTTGAAAAAAAGGTCACCTATTGAGTAGTGACCTACAAAGGGCAGTCGACTTGCACTGTTTTCCAGCTCAGGCAAAAAAATGGTGAGGAATTAGTGAAATTATACTAAAAAACCAAGACAAAATCAATTATTAAGTATAACAAAACTATTTAGGGATCCTCTTTGACCTCGGTGGTACACCATGAAGTAACATGATAATAAAATTCCAAGGTTTCTACTGTTATATGTTGCATCACCTTTCTGAGGTCATCAATCTTTTTCTTATTTATTGGAACAGGTGTTTTATAAGCCTTTTCAGTAGTTTTCTTGGAGTGTAAAGACTGCCAGTTTTTGAAGTCAACTATGTCAGATGGTCGAATTTGCTGAACAGTGAATGGTGACGTTTTTCGTGCGGACCGAATCATCTCATCGTACAACAGTACCAAAATCACGGTCGCACAGGAAAATAGTCATATATATATATATATATATATATTAAACGGCTAGTTGCCTGTAGTGTAGCAGGATTCGGACCATTGTGTGGTTACGTCAATGAGTTGAATAACAGTACAAGTCCGAACTAGTACTGTGTTTCCGCTCAATGACAAGTAGCATGTTCGCGTCTACAATAGAACGGAATGAACAACGTACTGTTTTGTACGCTCAGTCGATAGAAAGGCATATTTAAAGGCGAAAAAATGTCAAATTTTGGACTTGTACTGTTTTTCACCTCACTGATTCAACTAAACCATTAGGTTTAGGGCTGTAATTTTTTGAGATGAGCTCAATGGTTAGTTTCAGCAATGGTTATATCACTTTTTAACAGAGCTAATGAGAAATCAACGCAGAAAATCTTAAATTCATTTTTTTGTGAAAAATCTCTTTCATCCCTCGACTTTGGAGGGCGGTAGAAAAAATGAGGTCGTATTTCATTATTCATTTTATTGTAAAAACTATTTCAATCCCTGCAGATTAAACCCTGAAAATTTCAGCTTGCTACGATAAGTACGACTTGATGGGTTTTGACATATGAAGTACTGTTAGATTCGTCCTAGCAGTGCGAGTGTTACTGTGTGTATTAACATTTTGTAAAATCATAATGGCGGATTTTTTACGCAAATAGCCAAATCAGCTTAATGAGCTTTTGGGCATTCAACTCGGCATTTCAGATGTGGGAGCATTCAATCTTCGTTCCGAAATTACTAAGTCAGGCAATGGTCCAGCGCGGAATTTTGTATCTAACGTTTGGCATCTGAGTAGAATCATGTCATATTCTCCGCGAGAGTATGCTGAAATGCATTACTGTTATGCTGCTGCCCTAGGAAATGCTCGAGCATCTGTTCGCATCTATCGGGAGTATGTGTTTAGAAGAGGTGGACCACAACCGGCGGTATGTCCCGACTACCGCGTTTTTCTACGCGTCCATAATGCGTATATGGAGGGCCGCATACTAGGCACTCATTGTCAGCTAGGAGCGCCGAGGATACGCCCAAAAGAAATAGAAGACATAATAGAAGCAGCCGAGAGAGGTCCCTCTATAAGCACCAGAGCCATTGCCCGAAGCAGAAACATATCCCATACTTCAGTGCTCACAATACTACGCCGGTGAACATGCATCCCTGCCATGTACAAAAAGTACAAGAATTGCTTCCAAGCGACTATGCACAACGGGTTGAATTTTGTGAGAATATGTTGAGGATGAAACTTTTTTCGACAGCATCTTATGGACAGACTAATCCAACTTTAACCGAAATGGAATATTCATGAACAATTTCAATTCATCGAGCGTGGAAAATCCACTCGCTGTTCGTCGACACAGCTTTCAACGTCAATTCGGCGTTAATTTATGGACTGGAGTACTCAACAAAAAAATAATTGGACCATATGAATTGCCCGCCAAGTTGAATGGTTAGTCATATCTTGCTTTTCTACAAAGCAGTTTGCATGAGCTGCTAGATGATGTACCTTTGGACGTTCGAAGCCGCATGTATTTTCAATTCGATGGTGCCCCATGCCACTTTGCATGGGATGTACTTCATTACTTAGACAGTGCCTTTCCTGGGCGTTGGATAGGTAGAGGTGGACACATACGATGGTCTCCAAGGTCACCCGATTTAAATCCTCTAGATTTTTTAATATGGAGGTTTTATACGGGGATAATCTGAATATACAAATGTCAACCAACTTCGCCAGAAAATTGATGAATCAAAAATCAAAATTATGGAAAATGCAAATTCATTTCGAAGAAGGTGTCGCTTGTGAATAGAAAATAATGGAGGCAATTTCGAACATGTTCTTTAAAAGTTAGTTAAATTAAATTATCTTCCACATCTGTCGGCGAATCGCCATAAAGAGCGGCTAACACGATAACATAGGTTCTGCACTTGTAGGTGGTAAGAATTCTATTGCGTTTCTTACACTCATCGTAGCAAGCTGAAATTTTCAAGGTTTATTCTTCATGGATTGAAATAGTTTTTATAATAAAATGAATAATGAAATACAACCTCAATTTTTTTACCGCCCTCCAAAGTTGAGGGATGGAAGAGATTTATCATAAAAAAAGAACTTAAAATTTTTGCGTTGATGTCTAATAAGCTCTGTTAAAAAATGACATAACCATTGCTAAAACTAACCATTTAGCTCATCTCGGACAAAAAATCACATGCCTAAACATGCTGGTTTAGTTGTAATTGCGATTGAAAGTTCATTATCCCTTTTTTTCGAAATTTCACAAAATTGCAAATATCTCCTGAACTATAAAATTTCAGACCACACATATAGGGGTTCATAGGCCCTCTATTACCTGACTTCCGTTGGTCCACTAATAACTTTACACCCTGTATATAGCAGAAACATCAAAATATAGATAAAACGTTCTATTTATACTAAAAAATAATCATGTGAAATCGGTATCACAAAAAAAAAGTGTTAAGCAAATATTCCAAATATTGGAAAGGAAACGCTCGTACCAGCAAGCCCAATGGCGAACGAAATTCGATGGTGAAGAGGGCCTATATTTTCGAGTTATAGTATCATGTATTGAACATATATAAACCATATAAATTCTACCAATAATGTGAAAACTGTTAATAACTGTTAAACTGGCAGCTTGAGCATGATGACTTGTAAATTGCAGTGGCATCTGGTGGATCAAAACAAATTGCATACTTGCTCCTTCTACCTGGTCAGAATCCGTTGATATACCTATTATATTATCCCTATATATGAGCATAGATATGTAACAAGCAACAACTCTCAGGATTCATAAATCTACAAATTGTGAGTTTTGACCCACTTTCTATAAACCGAAGATGAGATATCTAAATCATAATTTCTGATGGTTTATTGATATCTACATAAAAACTGTTATGGAATGCTCAAATATGTATCCTATTCTTTAGACAAACACAGAAAAGGGCTGCACCAAAGACAGATGATCAACCAAAAGCTAAAGTGGTGAAAGCCCCAGAAAAAGCCAAAAGGGTTGCCTCTTGGGACTTCAAAACAAAATTCCAACTTTTGAATGAAAAACATGGTAAATTACTCAATAGTCATAAGGAACTACAGGAGAAATTTTCAAGTAAGTGGTGATTTGTCTTGAATTCTGTATTGGACGAAGGAAGTTCTCTCATTTGCTATAGACAATACCAGCAAACATATTGATTTTTTCTTTGTAGATGTGGCTGATTATGAGCAATACTACCAAAAATACAATGAAATACAAACAGCATATGACAAACAAACAAAGGATTATGAAAAAATTGCAATTGACTATACAGAATTGAAATCAAAATATGAAAAGTTGGTTGCAGATCACAATTCTTTGAGTAAAACATATGATGAGCAAAAAACTCTTTGTGCAACTTATGCTGACCAGTTAAGAACTCATGAAGACAATCTGGAACTAAAGGTACTGATTATAATTATGTTCTTACATAGACAAGGAATACACTTTTATCTTAATCTACTATAGTGAGCTTACAAGGAATACAAAGATTGTAGGAGATGCCAGAGAGCATCCATTGATCAACGTATTCTATATGGAGATAGCCTACCTAATGCTATATTCCCTCACCAAAAAAATATACAAAATAAAATGAGCCTAGCGTCGTCATCTATGAAAATTTGTCACAGCTGTTTCTCTATTTACTATATACTATACTATATACTTTGAACAGGTTAGTGTCTCATAGATGGCGTTGTCTATGAGCACATACGAGCATATATGTGGCCGTCTATATGATCATATATAAGCATATAGGTGTCTGCAGCGCCATCTATGTCATTTTCTAAGTATATACCGGGTGTTTCAAATTCGACCCTCGCCATTGGGATCTCAAACAAAGTCGGGAAAAAATAAATCTGGTAGATAAAACAACTGACTATCTGATAATTTCAAAGCCTACCTAAGAAGTTCTGATTTCTAAATAACTAAGGTTTGGCAATGTACGACATATTATACCTTTTTGAAATCAGAATTAAAAACTTTATTCAGCTGTGCAAAAGTCCAATAAGGTGTACATGAGAAAAAAATAAAGTTGATGCTGGAAAGCAAGACACAAAACGTCATACTGAGATTGTAATTGTACTACCTTGTAGAGGAGAAAACGTGGCGATGTTAGTGTGTAATTTATTTTGAAACCCCACTACAAATAATGTCAGGGAAAAATCAAAACGATTTTTGGAAAATTCGATTTTTTCCGTGTCTCCCCGGAAGTACTTTGGATTTCGAAACTTTCTGAGCGCTAGTTTATTAGTTACCTAAATAAGCAACTTAAGCGAATTCGTGTCTCTCACCCGGTATAATAAATATAGAGAAACAGCTGTGACAATTTCTCATATATGAAGCCACGATATCTCATTTTATCTCGGATATTCTTTGGACGCGGGTATATATATAGCATTAGGTTGGCGATCTTCAGGTAGAATACGTCATACTTCCCATGTATTTGTTTTATAAGTATTCACAAGTAGTACTGGTTTGGAAGTGAAGCCTGGCAACTAGGCCATTTGGCCCTTTTTACTACCAAATATTTGTTCATTTTTCAGTCAGTTATATATGTTACTTGTTTTCCAGAGTAAATTGATTGAAAAGCTGTCTACCGAAAATAATTGGTTCAAACAGAAAGCATTAGAATGGGAGAATGAAAGAAGGGCTTTGCATAATACTATTTTTGATCTGAAAGGTAACATTAGAGTATTCTGCAGAGTTAGGCCAGCAATAGGTGTGACTGAAGATCAAAAACTGCAGTGCATGGTAAGATTTTTTATAATAGTGTTAGGTCGTTTTTTGCATACCTCATGTGGTAATATGGAATGTGCCAAAAATTCGTCCAAATATCAACATGATATCATTGCACAAGTTTGAACATGGAGAACTTGATAACAAATGTCTTCTATCTTTTAGCTTTCATATCCAGATGAGTATTCCTTAGAGATCAGAAAAACCAAAGAAAGTATCAGTGCTACCAGTGGGAAGCCTATAGATAATAAAGCAGATTTTTGTTTTGATAAGGTGTTCTCTCAAAGAACAACCCAGGAAGAGCTGTTCCAAGAAATTGCTCCTTATGTGCAATCAGCTGTAGATGGGTATGTTTCACTTCATCTTTTGAAATAACGATAGATCTTCAAGTCAGAAGCGGGTACCTCAAACATAGAGGGTGTTCATGGAAGCTATAGTTTCACATAAGCTTTTCTGCCTTTGGCATATTAACTTTGTGTACCATATCATACCATTTATTGACCACATTACATACAAAAATATACAGGTTGGACCAATAATAAAGGTTAAAAAATGTTATAATAAAAGTGGTCAAGAGAAATTGCTGAAAATTATTTTCAGCTTCCTAAAATGGCCGATAGGTGGTGTCATTCCAATTTTTGCAAAAATGTATGATCAACATGTGACTTTTGAAATGACATAAACAAAAAAGGCTACTTAATAAATATGTTAAATATACTTTTTCGCAAAAAAATGGCGTTTGAATTCTTGAAATTGTACTGGTGCCACCCAGCGGCCATTTTAGTAAACAAAATAATTTTCAGTAATTTGTCTTAGCGACTTTTATTAATGGCCCACCCTGTACATGTGAGGTTGTATCAGCTAATCTATAAACCATTCTATAAACTATCCGAGTGACGTCATAGTATCAACATACTCATCAGCACAATAGAACCGGTGAATAAGCAAAGTTTTATAAAATTTGAGCTGTATTACCTAAATCATCTAAGCGCCAAGAATTTCGCAATTATAATACTTGTTCGCCATTTGGTGTTGGAAATAAAAGATTGGTGCTGTCAAAAACTTCACCGCTAAATAATGGTCTTTATGATATTCCAGATATGATGTCTGCGTTTTTGCATATGGACAGACTGGGTCAGGTAAAACATACACCATGCTAGGTGAGGATTATGGTAGTGAAGGTAAGTACTATTGTCACAGTTTTTCTTTATTATTCGACTACCTTGTATTACTTTCTGTAGGTGTGATTCCAAGAACTGTGTCATTAATATTCAGAACAGTTGAAGGATTAAAAAAGACTAATTGGGAATATGAAGTTCATGCAAGTGTCTTGGAGATTTACAATGAAAATCTAAGAGATCTTCTGTCACCCACTGGTAACCAGAATATGGAGATAAGGTATCCATTTTGTAGTATATTTAACATATGGTACCATTTAAATAAAACTCGGTCTAATGGAAGCCTACATTTGCATGGATGCTGCAATTGTTCAGTGTTTTTCAAAAAAGAAAAAAAAAATGCACGTTCTGTAAACATCCTACAAAATACTGTTAATCTTATCCGTGTCTATATTTTTTGAAAGTCTCACTCCCGTATCACAAAATTGTAGACTTTTGAAAACATACAAGATTATGACGTGTTGTTTTTCAGGCATAATTGTGGCAGAGAAACAACTGTAACAAATTTGACGATTGAAAAAGTTGAAAACGCAGAAGACTTGCGCAATCTGATGGAGCTAGCTCAAAAGCATCGTACGGTAGCAGCTACTAATTATAACGAACACAGCTCAAGGTAGGTGTTTTTATTTGAAACAATATATACTTTTAATGTGTTATTTTAGAAGATATCTTAAATAGTACATTACATACCTTGGTGGAAGAGTATGCCATAATTGAAGAAACACTTTTATATTCTGAGGCGAATAGCGCCCAGGGGATATAATGTGCGAAGGCAATAATGGCCTTCTCCACCGAGGTATGTATGGAATTCTTTCCCCTACTAATTGGGATGTATTACCACTTTCAGTTTGATTAGATTATGGAGTATAATATATCTGAGAAGTTTCTGAACGTCCGGCACCACTGTCCGAGCAAAGCACACAAATGCTATGTACATCAACACATCATTTGTTTCCCACTCATTTTCAAATATTATATAATATATCATTATAATTTTCAAGTATCATGGGGCTTTCAAGCTGAAAAAATAATGTGATAAATAAATATAATCACAAAATTCATTTTAGTTATGAAATAGACTAGGTATTTGTAGTGTAGTAAAAAATAATTATTGGTAATATTCGAAAATGGATGTAAGATTTAATAGCAGTGTAAATTCTGTATCAGAATACAAGCTAGTGAAGCTCTACAAGAATGCACACATTTCTCAAAGATGTTCGGTACAGCACACTAAAGCGTTTGAAGCTAGTTGATATCTTCTCCGACGAAAAAAAAAACACTCCACTTTTGACACTCTGTCACTTTTGTAGATAGACCAGCCAAATTTCCGTCCATATGAGCCTCGTATCACAAAGTTTCTCTTCTTTTATTTAAATTGTTTTAAAGTTTTGTGGATTGTCTATACAGGGTGTTTATAAACCTTGAATGTACTATTGCTACTTCTGGAGCTACAGGATATTCTATTAAAAAAATCAGTCAGTTTTGCAGATAGAGTAGCAAACTTTCGTTTTCTCATAGCTTAGCGTTGTTGAATGGTTACTTAAATATTCTTCCATCATCTATACAGAGTTTGTAATCACAAGATGCGCTCTGTCTAAACAAAACAACAAACATTACACCCTGGATATTTATTGGATTGGATTATCCTTTTTATTAACTTTATTTTGATATTACTTTTTTTGGAAGGGGAGGTTGGATTACTAAATTTTTAAGCTATTTACAGTTCCCAAGACATTACATTTCAGAATAAATAAATACCACATGATTCGTAGGAATGAAGGATTTTTAATGGATGGGTACAAGCTTTTATTAAAAGAAACTCTGTTTCCACGAATCATATGGTATCCTTCTTTTATCCGTCATTGTTTGTCAGAGCGGGCTATAGGACGTTAGCTCTTGGTTAAAGCATTGCAGGTCAGTACGTCTTTCAGGTCTGGTTGCCCAAATATCAGATAGTCATGATCATGTCGAATTATTCTGAATTGAAGTATTGGTAAAGTGCAAAGTCATCAAAAACTGTCAACCCTCCAAGGAATGTATATCAAAATAAAGCTTGTAAAACGGACAATTAAAAACCATAAAAATATACAATATACCATTTGAATTTTCTTAGAAAAAGTAAATTTTTCGTTTATAAACCCTTGTATAGACGATGCACAAAACTTTAAAATTGTTCAAATAAATGACGAGAAACTATGTTATACGAAGCTTATTTGGACGGAAAGTTTGCTGCAAAAGTGACTGACTGTCAAAGTTTAATGATTTATCGAACAAAATATACAGTATTTCCAAATTTCTTCCTTGAAAAAGCATTTGAGAATATACGAAAATATACAGGACATTCCATATAAAAATTTATATGTAAGTTGTCACGTAGTTATGAATCAGGCTGTAGAGAGTGGTATATTTTTCAAGTTAAGAGCTTCTAGTTACCTACAATTAGTGTACCTAACTCTTCTAGATATCTATTAGAATAAGGAAGCTATCCCTGTGTTTACAATTATTGTGCGAATAGGATAGGGTATAGTCACCCTATTCGTAGTCCACTTACGCCCCGGCACAACAAAGATGCAGCGCGACAAAGCGGCAGCCGCCTAAGCGTTGCAATAGCTATTGGTCATTCGGCCATACAACTACGAAAAGGTGCAGGATTCGCTGGCAGCTGCTGTTCATATTCGGTGCATACATAGTGTGTGTTTATACGTTACCATGTCGTCTACGGATACAGCAGATGAAACTGAGAATATTTCTCCCAATGCTTCCTGCAGCCATGCTTCCTACTCAGTGATGTCTCCTCCCCGAAAACGTGACAAAAAGGGACATTTGAATATTCAGGCAAAAGAAATTGTCCTTAACGTTTATAAGAACGAAATTTTAGAGCATCCTGAAATGAAAATTCATGATAATGAAAGACATGTGGCGAACAAAACAGGCTTATGTCCTAAGACAATTTTCAACATTGTTAAAAAATATAAAAAAAACAAAAGTTGTCTGCACCACACAAGAGGCTGCATTCTACGAAGCTGTTGGATGCAGTTGGTAACGTTGAGCGGAATGCCATCAGACGCAAAGTCTATCAATTCTTTGAAAGGCAGGAACTTCCCACCATAGACAAAGTATTACAGGAGGTTAATAGTGATGAAGATTTACCTACTTTTAAAAGGACCACATTCTATAGCTTACTCAAAGAACTTCATTTTGAGTACAGAAAACGGGACAGATAGTATTTTGATGGACAGCCGAAAAATTATTATATGGAGAAGAAATTATTTAAAATCAATAAAGAAATACCGCGACCAGGGCAGGAAGATTTATTACTTGGATGAAACCTGGATACAAGCAGGACATACAAAACCTAAAGTATAGGTTGACTATACAATTAAATCAGCAAAACAAGCCTTCTTAGATGGACTAACCACTTGCCTAAAGAATCCGTCAGGTACGTGTATTTAACCAATTCGTCATTTGTGTTGTAAAAATGGTGTCATGTAGACTGAATCTATGAACTCACGCTGAAAACTTAGCTATATCTGGTTTATTTGGAACCAAAACCTGATACTGTGCTTGTATTATTATTAGTTTTCTTGAATTCTATATGAAATGATTATTTACAGGAACAGGAAAACGATTTGTTATCTGTCACATTGGCAGTAAGTATAGCTTTGTGGCAATGTCGACAAGAAAGGCAGAAATTCAACAATGGCTCCTATCAAAAGACATTAGTTTCAATGAAAATATGGTCAAAGCAGAACTTTTCCATCTAGTCCGGCAGCACAAATATAAATATAATCTTAATGTTATTGACGAAATGGCTAAAAACTAAGACAAGACCGTTTTAAGGCTACCCCCTTATCACTGCGAATTAAATCCCATTGAAATGATTTGAGCAAATATAAAAAACTATGTGGGTTCAAACAATAGAACATTAAACATTTCTGACGTGAAAAATTTTGTTTGATGAAGCTGTCAACAGAGTGATGACAAAGATTGCAGCCGTCACGTCAAAGAGACAATCGAAACAAAGATGTGGGATCTTGACAGTATGATCGATATTCAAATTGAACCTGTAATAATTAATATTAACCATTCGGACGATGATTCAAGTACTTCCAGCGAATAAAGAATTGTGAAAAGTATGTGCACTTCTTTCTATAAAAATAATCGTTTATTTTGTTAGATTATTCCAAGACCATTTAGGAAAATACGGACCTGTACAATCTCGCTTTTGGGCATGTTGTGTTTTGTGAGGGCGTAAATGGACTACGAATGGGGATAATACCTTTAGTATGAACCATGATGAAATGCTGCAAGCATTACCATGGTGGGATGTTTAGCGAATGTTTGGGGTTTCAAAGAGTATGCCGCAATTCTAGAGAATCTCACATTTCGGGCGAAAAAGCCGGCAAACAGTGGTTTATTTATTCAAAAACCTGGAAAAAATTGAAAAATAGGAACAGTATCGGAAATTAATGAAAATGATTTGCTATTTTAAAGTCAATACCGTAAACAATGAGTTGGAAACGAAAACAAGACTTTAATTACACTACGTTTGCCATGGAAAACTATAAAACTAAGTTTTTGGTGCATCATTTGACACTCCTCCAAAATTGGAGAAATTCTGTATCATCCGTTGTATTGATTGTTGAAAATATTTAAAGCTCTGGAAATTGATCATTAACTTTCATCACAACAGAAAATTATCATTGTTGTTGTTTTCATGTACATTGCGAGTTGAACTGATAACTTTTTTTAGTTTCACTTCGTTATATTAGTATTGGTCAAAGAAGTTTTTAATGAGGTTCTGCCCTTTGCCCCAACTGGAATAAATTGTCTTCTAACCTTGAAGTACTCCCATATAAAATCTGCTATCATTTACAAACTATCGAGAAATAATACATTATATACTGTAACATTATTGGAGGTGGTCGGTTACGGTTAATTAACTTTTTTGAAAATATCCATGAGTGTCCTTTAATTACCCTCAAATGCCTTCTTAGAGCCAAACCCATGTCTGATTTTGACTCAACGACTGCAAAAACGTATGTGACACACGACTGGACTCTAGTATAATATGTATTGGTTAAAATACAAAATGTAACATAAATAATACATGAAATACCCAAAACAGTACGAACTTGTGCTTGGGCTTAATATATGATGAATCAAATTTGAAATATTTTGGTATACAAAAGATTTTATGGTTTGGTCAAATGTATAATTTACATATCTGCTGACCTCTGATTCGACCTTATTAACCAGAAACTTAAAATCCATAGCACTGAAATGACCTTCAAGTGACTTTCAAATGTTCTAATAGAGATAAAATAACCTCAGATTTGAAACCAGCGACCCAAAAACACTGTACTGAAAATCGTACAAATGCCGTAGACATTTTCCGGAAGGACTATGCTGTCGAGATTTTTTGTCGCAGAGAACTCATAAAAGCTTTCCCCTGACAAAAAATTAACAATTTGACTGAGGTCCCAATAAAGCTCAAAATTAATCTGGGTCAAAAGCATGCAGCCTATACATTGACAACCAAATTTATCTAACGGCTTGACTTCAATGTGTACGAGAGAAGTGTGAAAGAAATAGAAGCCGGCTGGATAGCGA